AACCATCAGATTTAGTTATTTTTGGACAAACTGCCCGCCACACCGATGCCAGATAGTTTTTAAAGGGACTTGGAAGGTAGAAATCCACAGGGCATGTCGATTTTCACCAAGATTCCATCGAATTGGCACGAAAATAGGGTTCTAAAGGACCATTCAAGGGAAAATCCATAAAGTATTACAAATTTTTAGCTTTTAATGGTTCAACTGGCCGACAACTTGCATTTTAAAGGTACATGGAAGGCACAAACCTCTAGTGTTTGGCGTCTAGGCACCTTTAAAAGAACCGGAAGCTTACCTAAATACCGCGATAATCAAAATAATGCTGGAAAATGGCATTCTGGAGGGCAGGGAATGTTGTGGCAATACAGTCTGGCAGGCAGTCAGTCAGTTTGTGATGATGATGGCTATGATGATGATGGGATGGGCCATCACTCCCTCAATCCTTTGGAGGGACCCGGTCCTCTCAAGCCTCTCCCCCCATACCGTCAAAGAGACTGGATTCTTTCTGCAGGGCTAGGCGGTGGACATCAATAGAGAGCGACAAACCATTGCCATCTTTGGGCCGTGGAATGCCGATGGAATGTGTACTTTGTAGTTTTGGCTCAAAAATTTGGCTTTCTGACCTCCAAAAATCCAATATTTGCAGTTTTCGGGAAAAATGTTGTAGTCTGTAGTTTCCAGCAAAAATGACTTATCTGACATCGATTGTATCCAAAAATCACCCATCAGACAACCGAAAATACCATTTTTTCATGTTCAGGAAAATAGGTAGCCTGAAAAATAGCGGTATGTAGTTTCCAACCAAAAAAAAAATCGGCTGAATTGTCAGTCAACTCGGGGAAATTCATGTTTCTGGCATCCAGCTAGCTGTTTCCTACAACTTTTATGGCAAAATTCTAGCGGGAAAAATTGTAGTCCAGCAAAAATTTTTTTTATTGCTTCCAAAAATCGCATCGAAGTTTTTGGAAAAATTGGCGTCCAAAAAAAGTTGTAGTCCGTAATTTAATAAAAGATATAGATTTTTTTTCTTGCTATAAACCTTCCATTAACGCCCCTTTTTCAGTTCGATGCCAGTGTTCTTTGATATTTGGGAGAATGTGCACGGGATCGATTCATTCGGAGTCGTGCTCTCAATTCTCGTTCGACTCTCCGATTTCATGATTGTCCTCAATTCGGCCACAAATTCTCTCGCTTATTTCGGGAGGAAGAGGTGGTTGGAGAGGAGGCTCAGGTAATTCCATAAAAATTCGAAAACTGAATTATCCTAAGCAGTTGCTTTGAAAAATTAGATCGGCAAGGGTGTATTTTGTAGTCTGACCAAGAATAGCTACAAACTACATCATTTACGGATACATTGTTAGCCAGTTTGATTTTTGATAGCCGTCAAACCAAAAAAAAAAATTGAACTTTTAATTTTTTATTTTTATGCTAGTTTATTTAATTTTTAAATCCTTATTTCAGGCTTCACATGATGAAAAAAGAGGAAAAACGGCAGAGACAAGCGAGTCTGAGTGGAGGAGGAGAGAGAGGAGACAGTAGACGACAGGTGAGAGAAAATAGAGACTACTACAGGCTACAAAATAGACCCCAGATCGTAGAGAATGGATTAGAGATTTTAAAGGGATTGTCAAGTCTATCCATAGCAAAATGCCTTGCCAATCCCTTTAAATCCATTTCTGGCTGCTTTCTAGAGCTTTTTAGCCCTCTCTGGCTGGCATTAGTAGTTTAGATCGCGAAACGCAACGCGCACGCGCCGCTTGTCTTAATTAAGGCCCCGCTTGGCTCAATCGATTACGCAATGGAAAGACTGACGAGCGATTACATTGCGTAATAGATTACGTCATGAAAACCGGGGTGTGCGTTGCGTGTCACGGACTTGGATTCCATGGAAATTTCGCCGCAGCCGAGACACGCAACGCGCACGTCCCTCCACAGCCATATACAGGGCGAAATCGCTTACGTTACGGAAAGAGATCACGATCAATTACCTTGCGTCATCGATTACGCCATTAAAACGCGGGCCTGCGTTGCGTGTCGCGCCGCGGAAAATCCTTATGGAATCCATAGCCAAAATGCCTTGTCAGTCCCTTTAAAAGGCATGTCTAGCTGCTTTCTAGAGCTTTTTCTAGCCCTGTCTGACTGGCTATTAGTGTGTCCTATACTCGCATGGCAATTTCAGTCTTGTTCGGCTTCATCGGTAGCATTGAACCCTCGTCTTACCGTATCCTGTACACCATCACTCGTCCCTCCACAGCTAGCATCATCTACCACAGCCTGTAGTACAACAACAACAATGACGAGGGAAGACAACGACACAATCATGTCGGGTAAGTATCGATTCATTTGAGAGGGGAATTCGAGCCAAAAATAGAAAGAAGAAGAGACGAATTGTCATTTGGAAGAGAATGGACAGGTTTGTGGAGGATTGGATGAAAGGATTCGCATTAAAGGGACGGTGACAGGACGGGATGCTAACGCTGGAGGCGGACTTTTTGGCAGGCAGCCAGCTGGCTGATAAAATACATCTTAGCGCCAAAAACTATCGTAAACGATTAAATTTAGCGGAATTTTTTTGGCAATTCGCCAAGCTGACTTACGGCACGCCGTTTTAGCCCAAAAAACTGGCTTAATCGATTAATTTCATCCGAATTTTTTGATCATTCGCTAGACTGCGGTACGGTATGCATTGATTTTAAATCCAAAAACGTAGTGTAATCGATTAATTTTGGTCAAACTTTGTGCGAAATTCGGAGATTTTGCCTACAGTATGAATTTCGAGCCTCGAAAAATACTGTAGTTAGCTCAAAAATCGGATTTTTGTCATTTTTTCGAGACAGTTGGTCAAACTGGACTACAGTACATCGATTAAACCCGTCAAAAAGTTGACAGCCTGCCAAAAAAAAACCTAAAAATCGTCAGAATCCTGCCCTGTCCGCCCCTTTAAAGGGATAGTGCCCGGAGGCATGGGATGCTGTTTGCTCTCTCTATTTCTCTCTCTTTCTCTATCTGCTGTATGAAAATCTTTCAAAATATTCCGTTCCCTGAGTTATGAATGCTTTCCATCGAATTGCTAGCCATTTTAGAGCTTGTAGTTTTTAGTCCAATAGAAAATCCCGCAAGAAAAATACGTGGAAAGTTCCTTTATTTCCGGATTGCTGAGTGTCTTTTTACAAGCTACAAAATACAAAATACAACCCAAATCTTTTTAGGTACCCGGTGAGAAGCCGAAATGCCTGAAATACCCCTCCACCTCGATTCGACGTCCCGATCTGCCAGAAGAGCCCCAATCTACAGCTGTTTCTCCACCTCTTGCTCCCCTGTCCCATCCGTCTCTCCATTCCATTCCCTCTCTCCCATCTTCTCCAAATTCCCCGAAAATCTTGATTACAACATCGACAGATCGTCCACCGTCAAACGCCAGTAATCACTCGTCGCTTTCTGTCTCTTCGCCCAGTCGATGTTGATTTTGTCATTAACCGGTTGCTTATTTGAAATTGCAAAAAACCTCCTCAAAAACTGGCCAAAAAGCTAAAACAAGATTGGCGCCCTTTGGTGTGGTGCATTGGTAAAGTTCTCGCCTCTCACCCACAGGGTCCGGGTTCGACTCCCAGCCGCGGAAAAAGTTTTTGCTTTTTGACCAGAAGTTATGAGACGACGTTCAAAACCTATTTCCATTGACGGCACCGTGTTTTTTTGCATTTTTAAGGCCTCTCTCGCCTTTTTACTTTTTTCTGGATGAGGGTCGGCTGATCAAAAAATGAAAAACCTCAAAACGCAAGTTTAATTTCTATAATTATTTCTGGCAAACAAGTTGTGCGTCAGAAGAGCCGAAAAGCCGAAAAAATCCACCCGATAACCTCTAATTATCTATTGACGCGATATTCACGTGCCCTCCAGTAATGCCTCCCAAATGCTTGTTGATCTCACACATATTTCTCTCGTTATCTCTCGTCCATTTCTCTCGCCGCAACGGGTACGTCATTGTTTTGTATACAATAAAGCTATATATTACGGTAGATCTCGTCGAAACAAGAAAAAACACCAGAGAAAAACCTCAGAAACACCACTTTTACGCGAGAAAATCGGCCAAAAATTCATAAAGAAAGGAGATATTGTTCTTTCCATTTCATTCGGCTAAATTACAATAAAGCTATGTAACCGTAAATTGAGACTATAAAGCTAGAAAAAATCCATCAAAACACCTCAAACAAACAATTTTTTACAAAAATGCCGATCTACAAAAATCTCACAATTAAATACATCAAAAAGGAGTTTTTTAGCCAAAAATTACCAAAAAAATCAGAAAACCAGCTAATTGTATGACTGTGAAATTAGAAAACGGGAACCGTGAAAACGTCCAACGCGAAAAATTTATTGAAATAGCCCCTAAAAACGGCTTTTTTAGCTTAAAAATGATCTAAAGGTGCCTAAAATATAATTTATGACGTATTCTTCCACGTCATATAAACGCCCTAAACTCTAAAAACGTTCTAAAAATACAAAAATGCATCACCGTTTATTACCCCACAAAAAAAGAAATCCATATAAAAAGGACGAGGGATCGATAGATAGGTAGAGAGATTTCTATAAAAACAGAGACGATAGATAAACGGGGGGCAGTCAGGGATTGGAGAGCTAGAGATGGAGAGAGAGAGAGAGAGTGGGGAGGGAGCACGAGCTTGGGAAGAGCACGAGCTAGGGAGAAGAGCACGAGAGAGGCCATTTTAGCAGATCGATCGGCTGATTCTACCACGAATCACAATCAGAAATCGGCGAGAAAAGCGAGAGAAAAAGAGGAAGACACACACAAGTATTTGAGAAAACAAGAAAAAGAAAAGGGGAAATTCTAGAAATGGGAGGAGGAATCCTAGGAAAAAGGAATGCATAAATAGAAATAAAACAGGGGAAATTAAATAAGAGGGCTATTTGGCGACTTCTTCTCATAGCTTTGATGATTGGCTGGATGGTGGTTGTTGATGATCATCATGGCCGGCCAGTCAGAACTGGATGAAATGCCACTTGTCCACCTCCACTGGGATGTCGGCCGGCTGGCCCAAGGGAGGCTGCGAGGCGACCTGCAAAGAATTGTCATAAAAACGCTGAACAAGGGCCACAAATTGCGCAAATCATCACTGCTAGTTTGCATAGTCAAACGCATAAAATTCCAAAACGTCTCTGCTAGCTTTTATCGCCAAAAATTCGCGTAAAATGCAAAAAAATTGTATAAAAAAGCCATAAAATCATGGAAAATTCCGCAAATGATCACTGCTAGTTTCCCCTAGTTATCTGAACGAAAAGCGCCCAATTCTGCAAATGACCACTGCTAGCTCGCCCCAAAAAAGTTTAAAAGTTCTTAAAATTGCTGTAAGGAGCTGAAATTCCAGTGACCACTGCTAGAATGCCCACAGATTCCCAAAGGGTCTCTGCTAGCCCGCCTCCTCTCACCTGCTGAGCCCATAGATCCTGGGTGACTTGGTGTACAGCTTCGGGTTGCAGTGATTGGGTGTTGAGGGCTGGGGAGGGCTCCTTCATCAGCTTCTTCCAGTAGTCGTGCGTCTCGTTGATCACCTGCAAAAATAGTAGATTAAAAGGTACTGGGCTATTAACGGGGGGGGGGTTATATTTTAGCATTTTCGGATTACTCACAGATCCCGAAATAATTTTTAGAAAATTTGAAAAATTAAAAGGTTCAGGCATTTTCACACATTTTTTAGCAAAAAAACCAAAATTTTTCGAAATTTTAAATTGTTAACAGATTTCTATACAGGAATAAAGCGTTAAAAGTGACGTAAATGGAGTGTATTTCAACTGTATGGACGTTAAATGTACGCTAAAAGGTCCTGGGCGATTAGCGGGGGGTATAGTAGCCGTCGATCGCCAAAAGGTCAAAAGAATTTTTAGAAAAATTTAAAAACACGGAAATTTTTGATCATTTTCCTGCATTTTTACCAAAGACCAAATTTCGAAAATTTTGTAATTTTAGCAGATTTCCGTGTTTCGAAAAGGCATAAAAAGGATGCCAAATTCAGCCCCCCCCCGCTAAGAATCCAGTACCTCACAAAAAACACAAATTTCCTTCTCTACCTTGTGAGCAAAATCGGCCTCCTTGTACTGTCCGTCAAAGGCGAACTCGTTGGCGGGCTTGCCGGCGGGGATCTTGTAATGCTTGAACCAGTCGTACGTCGCCTAAAACAAAACAGATCAAAATCGTCAAAACACGCAGAAAAATACCTTGAGGAGTCCCGGGAAGTGGACCTCGACATCGGCCGTGTTGTTCAGCTTGTCGGCCAGCGGGTCATCGACGGCAATGGCCACAAGTTTCCAGTCGGTCTCTCCCTCATCAAGCAGGGCAAGCGTTCCAACCACTTTCACCTGGAAAAGCGGGTTTAAAAAAGCATACTGTAACTACATTTTCATCCAAAAATTCGTAAACCTTGAAAAATCGCAATTTAGGCCACCAAAAAAAATCGATTTTTTTTGTTCTTGTTTTAATACCGATTTTTAATTAGAAGTTGTTTTGCCAATATCGCGTCTATTTTTAGCTGAAAGAAGCAAAATAAAAATCTATAATTTAGGCGGAACAACTTTTTACTGCGAAAAATCCGCTTGAGAATTACCAAATTCAAGCGAAAAAAAATTTTTTGGCCGAAAATCACGAAAAGTTTCAAGGCTTCTTAGTTTAAAAACGGGAAATAAAATATATAACTTACACAGAAAACTTTTTCGAATAGTTACATTTTAAAAATTAGGCCACAAAAGCCCGGATTTTACCAAAATCTCAATTTTTGCAATTTAAAGTTTGTAGTTTCCACGTTTAGGTTTTTTTCATCGTAAAACGTACCGGAACGACCTCTCCCCTGTGTCGGACGACACTGCCAATCTCGATGATATCAATGGGGTCGTTGTCTCCCTTGGCCCCGGTCTCGGGCGCAATGTGGTTTGGGTCTTCCCACGTCTAGAAAAGCCAATAAGAATGATAGACAAATCGAAAAAATACCTGAGGAAGAGCGCCATAGTTCCAGATGTATCCCTTGTGGGGGAAGATGTTGTGCACGAAGCGGGGGACACCCTTCTTCTCGTCCTGCTTGATTGGGGACAACGGCTCCTTCGTTGCGATCTGAAAATTCGGGGGTGAAATTGCCAAAAATAGCCTTTCTGGGCCAGTTTTTAACGTGGAATCTCAAAAAACCACAGATTCTCGTATCACAAACGAGATTTCTGCAGCGGTAAAAAGCGTAAAATTAAAAAAATCTGGATACAGACACAGACAGACAAGACAACGTTGAATCCGAAAATCTACGGCGTGCTAAAATCGCAATTTCGGACGACTCGCGCGAAAAAGCTTAAAATTACCCCGAAAAACGTATAGCTACACAAAAATGTGGCTAAACAGGGTTTGTTTTCCTAGGCCAGTTTATTGCGCAGAATCGAAAGATTTACAACTTCTCGCGTCAAATTCGGAAATTTAGCACGGAAAACCGTCAAATCACGCAAACAACGGCTATAAAAACAACATTTAGTCGGACGATTTTGCGCGCCGAATCGGAAACGCATGTCAAAATCTCAAATTCGTCTCGAACAAGCGTGAAATTCCGAAAAAACGAGATAAACTAGCTTTTTTCTAAACCATTTTTTTCATGCTGAATCATAACTCCATAAATTATCGCCTCAAAATCGAGATTCAGCTCGATTCGCGCGAAAAAGCATAAAAACTGCAAAACTGCACCTCCATCTTGGCGTTCGACCAGCGCGGGATCTCGACAATCATGTTGTACGTCTTCGATGGCTCGTCGGCGAACAGCGGGATGTCGTGCCACGGGGAGATGTAGCCCTGCGGTCCCTCTGAAAAAATCAATCAATAAAAATCATCTAAACCTGAAAAATCCCAAAAATCAAAAACGCACTGAAATAGAGGCGATAGTCGAGGGTGTAGGGGGATCCGCGCTCTTCCACCGTGTATTTAGGCCCATCCCCAGCAGCTGACGACGACATGTTCTTCACCGGCGAACCAGACGTCACCGCCCTGCAAAAAAAAAATATAAAAAAGGCATTATAAAACGCATTTTTCGGAAATTTTTCAACCAACGCACGGTCTATTTTGGAGCTCCTCCGAGGAAGAACCCTCGTCACTATCCAAAAATAGGGTAGAAGAGTTAGAATTCGAGTTTTTAGAGGTATTTAGAGGGGCAGAAAAAGAAGACGAATTGACAGCCGACGTTTCATTCCCATGCACAGGCAACAGATTTAGAGGCTCGTCAAAGGCCGTGCCATTTCCCAGAATATCTGCCGCCAAGTCGGGTTGTAGTTTAGAGTCTCGGGTATCGTTTGAAAAGTCAAAAATCTGCGGGTGGGTAGATTTTGTAGTTTTAGCCTCAGAGTTTGTCGTCTGGTTCAAATTACTGAAAGCGCTCGATCCAGTCGTCAGATCCAAAATTTGCGGGGTTTTCTGGGTACTAGGAAGAGTCGCGGATCCTGTAGTCTTCAGATCTACAGTCGCAGATTTTGTGGTCTTCGTTTCCGGCCGCAAAACGGTCGTTAGATTCAATTTCGCCAGCGTAGAATTCTCAAAAATCTGAGAAGTCGCTGTAGAAGCTATAGGATGATCAGAAGCCGAAAGTGCAGCGGAAACCGGGACCGTAGAATCTGTAGTTTGTGGTTGTGGCGGGGATTGCCGCTCGACCTCGACAATCCTCTCAATATACCGCGGTACAATGATGGTACACGAATCTCCGCCAAGACGAGAGACTTGAAGCAGTAAATACAGAATGAGGACCATCATTAGGGGGATGATAAACAGAAAAGGGCGGCTCAAATGAAGCGGTTCCATCATTTCACCGATTTACCGCAAAAAAATGCCCAAAAAAGCTAGAGAATCTTTAGTTTCTCCAATAGAATCGATGTGGATCTTTTAGGAAATAGGGGGATCTAGAGAATCGAGCGGCGGACGCTTTAGATGGGCGATTGGAGCATGATACTCCGTGTAGGGAGGTCCATCCCATCCTATAGTCCAACAACAATACCCCCTTTCCAGTAAGCAGGATTATGCCACCACGTCAAAAAGGAGGGAGCAGAACTGCAGAACTGACACACGCTAGAGGCGAATCGAAAACCGGAGGTCGCTGGCCAAAAGCCGAAGGATGTTACAGTGGTCTTAGGGCTAAATTGCGTTATATGGTCACTAAACCGATTTTCGATTTTTATATACCAAAATGCTCAGCAGTTCGAGCTGGTTCAGGATCAGTTGAAAAAACTATTGGGAAACACTTCTGGAGCGAGTTATAACACTTCAAAGTTGGCGAGTGTCGTATATGGTCACCAAACGGATTTTCGATTTTTATATGTCAAAATGCTCAGCGGGCCGAGCTGATTCTAGAACAGTTGAAAAAACCTTTGGGAAATACTTCTGGAGCGAGATATACCACTACAAAGTTTGGCGTCACCCCGGCCCACTACATAACTTGGCGCCCTGGCGAGTCAGTTTTCGGTGTTGCGAAGAATGGTTGGGTTTGAAATGGGTTTGGCATGAAACTACACACCCGATCTGAGCCTAAAAATAAGGCTTCGTGCCACCCGGGGCCTAGTCGCTTCGGATGGGTGCGAGCTCGTACAGGGTTTCGAAATGGGGGCGCCAAGGCCGGCGAAGCGGCCGGGGGCGCCCCCATTTCGAAAGAGTGGAGCGGCAGCCCATCCGAAGCGACGGCCCACCTTGCCTGACAATGGATTTTTTACGCATGAAACGGCAATTCTCCACCATTCCGTTTCTTTCCGATGTACAGTTGGCGTATTTTGGTGTACTACGTACTGCTTCAGGGGCTGAATGGACGGTTTGTAAGCTAGATATCTCGCGAAAGAGATTTTTCCCAAAACTTTTTTCAACTGATCCTGAATCAGCTCGACCTGCTGAGCATTTTGACATATAAAAATTGAAAATCCGTTTAGTGACCATATACGACACTCGCCAACTTTGAAGCGGTATATCTCGCTCCAGAAGTGTTTCCCAATAGTTTTTTCAACTGATCCTGAACCAGCTCGAACTGCTGAGCATTTTGGTATATAAAAATCCAAAATCGGTTTAGTGACCATATAACGCAATTTTCCCAAAGAGAACTTCGAAAAAGATAACTTGGTGTCCAGGGTCGCAAAAAAAAGAATATCGAGCCAAAATGCTCCTCAACAACTAGGAAAATCGAAAAACTAGAAAAATTCGGCGTTTTCGGTCAGAAAATTGCAAAAAAATCGACGATTCAGCGAAAACGCCTTGAAAAACCAAGCAAAATCGAGGATTTCAGACCAAATAGCATAAACCTCGACAATTTTGAGCCACTTAAATCCCAAAAACTATAAGAAAAGATGGACCTCTCAAAGGCATCGGTGAATAGATCGGTGACCGGGTTGGCACGGAAGCAGAAGCCGCAGCGGAACCACGAAAACATCGCCGATTTTCGAGGAATGGCATAAGGATTTCAAAGCCCAGTCTCCCAAAAATATGCAGATTTAGGAACGGCATTCAAACTGAGTGTATTTAGATTTAGAATAGTATTAAGTGTATTCAAATTGGATTCATTCATATCTAAAAACGTGCGAACCTGCAAAAGAAATGTGGGGAAGAGGAGGAGACGAATTGACGGCCGATGACCAGAAGTGGTCGACAGAGCATACGGATCTTCGGGGTAACAACTAAATAATAACAAAAACTAACTAATGACAGTAAATACAGCGTCAAGAAAGAAAAAGTCACCAAACTGGGCAGTTTTCAAGCTATCGAAACCTAGAAAATTGGCCTCAACATCGTCCAAAATGCGAGAAAAATTTATAAATAAGTCTTAGGCTATCAAGAAGCGGTAATTCATTAAAACTACCGTTTTACTACTACAATTTACGTTTTCACGGTATCGAAAAGCCAGCTAAAAATAGCTCCAAAAGGCTCAAAAAGTCGCGGAAAATCTTATAGATATCTTTTTTGGGCTATAAAATAAGCGCGAATTTATGTAAACTATTTCATCACTTACAAAGATACCTTTTCTAACGTTTCTCCGCTATAAAACAGCAAAAAGTTGCGTTTCCGGTAAGAAAAAGCACTTTTTCTCGAAAGGGCGGCGATCGGGGGGAAGTGGACGAGAGACTCCAAAGTACACGACTAGGCCCTCTTTGCCCACGAATTGTCAAGAAAAAGCCTCAAAAACGACAAATAGTGATCAAATAGTTGGCGACTTCGTTGTAAAAACCATTGAAGAAGCTTGACTGGATGGCAGTTTGTGGAATGACACCACTTTTGACGCAATTTCATCGGCGGGAGGTAAGTTACGGCCGTTAGAAGATCGCATTTTTGGTAAAAATCCTCAGTTTTGCGCTATGAAGTCTCTAGGCAAATAGAAATCTCGGACGGGTGTCAGTACGATGAATAAAGCACTTTTTGACCGGTTGGTTAAGGGATTTGGTCGGTAAATCGGCTTTTTTTTCTGGGCAATTCTCGTATAAATCGGGTAAACTTCTAAATTTGATGCTCTAAATCCCTTACCTATACACCGTAACCGTCGAGAAAGCGAGAATACCGTAGAGCAACATTTTTCGTGTGTTTTCCCGCTCCGCGTGGGCTTTCATTTTATTTGTCGCGGGTTTATTGACCTAACGGGGGGGGGGGGGATCAGGACTTTTGATGGTCACTCGATGGACAGAGAGACAGATAGATAGACAGAATATTGTAGTCAGATAGACAAATAGAGGATTAGAATGAATCACCGCTGCTAGCCGAGTAGATGAAATGATTCACTGACCACCAAAATAGCTGTCTAAAGCCCGATTTTTTTAGTTTTTCGGCCGTTTCTCGCTTAGTGTTCCTGGTTGATTTATATACCAAATTTTGATAAGATTTACATGATTTCCGGCTTTGACTTCGCCCGGTCAATCCGTTCTTTTTGAGGGCTTATCGCTTGATTGGGGCCCAATTAGGCATTGAAACTTTGATCAGACGGAAAAGGACACGGGCAATTGTGTCGCGGACAGCACTGTCATTTTGATAATTTAGAGGCACCAAGCGAACAAATACTGCTATCGATCACGACAAACTACAAACTGACAGTCACTGCATCGAATGGTACATAAATTAGGCTAGACAACGGGACTTGTTTTTTCTATTTCCGGATTTTCGGAGATTTTCAGAAACTAATTTTTCTTTCTCTTACGCCTCCCGAAATGTCTAATAACGTAATAGAAAGGATTCTGATAGTTTTTTAGTAAAATTTAGCTATATTTAAAGTGGCAAAACAATTTTTTAAATTTATAAAATCTCTGAAAACTAGAATTTTTCCGAAAATCCACATCTTTGGTCTGAAAATTGAATTTTTTCTAGGTTTTGATGAAAATTTTGATACTTTTACGGTTAAAAATAAAAATAAAAACGGTTTAGAAGCATCCAACGTATATCGGAAAATTCGATCCTAAGGAAAAAAATAAATAGAAAAATGGCCGAGCCTCAGATCTCGGGCTTAGAAAACTACAAGCTACAAACTACAAAATGGCATACAATTCACGACAAACTACGAACTTACCACTGCCTGTCAGGGCGCGCATGGGGGTGGGGGAGGGCGTGGCCTAGTGGTCTACGGCGCCGGTCCCAGCTGCAGGCAGAGGTTGCTGGTTCGGTTCCTCTCCCCGACAGAAGCCCGGTAGGGTTTTGCACTTTTTTTGTAAAAGGTACAGAAGGGAATCCAAAACCGATCTAAAGAGAAGCCCATGCGGAAAATAAAAAATTATGCTATTTCCCGGGCTCTAAAGAAGAAATTGTCTCAGATGGTGCCGATTCGCTCAATAAAAGAATATCATAATTACAAAGACATGTACTGCCCAAATTAGCCAAAAGTCAATGATTTCAAGCCCGTTCATCCGGACAAAGCTGAAAACTTTGACTAGCTTGAATTGTTCAATTATTAGGATCTCTCATTCAGCACCTTTTTTACTTCCCAGGACCGCAGAAGTACCCAATTTGATAGTACCGATTCTTTTCCAATGAATATCGGTGAAAAAACCAGGAAGAATGAGGCCAAACGCAAAGAAAAACGCCGGCGCACATAGATCGTATTTTCTCAATTTTTCCGGCTTAAATCCTAGATAAATCCTTATTTTCACGCTAGATCACCATGAAACCCCTTCCATAATGTGAGCAAGAGTCTTCTCTATTTTTCGTATCGGTGGACTCCCCACAACAACGTCGTTTTCGAAAGTTATAGGCATTTGAAGTTGAAACTTTGTGACTCTTTTTTGGCCCCTTTTCTTTGCCTCTCTCCCGAAAAATCATGGATCGCTAGGCAAGCATAGTGTGCGCGCGGGCATAGGGACGCTACGGAGCGCCCCCACCTCTCATGAGCGCTTTTCTTAGTATCTGACAGCAAGTGGTACAGTCACCACATCGATTGACACCAAAATTTAAGCAATAAAGCGCGATTTTGAAGGATTGAGTTTAGTCGACCACAAACTACAGATTACAAACCACAAAAAACGAACGAAACCAAACAGTACCGAAAGGACGATGCATACATTGTTGTCGTAATACAGATTAGAAGATTATATCTCTAGAGAGCAATTTACAGGCTACAGACTACAATAATCGAGTCGTTAATAGATACCTTGGCGGGGCAATTATTCTGACTGGAGTAGTGGTGGTGTCAATTGGATTAGTCGTAGATGAGGGCCAACAGCATGGCATTTAGAGGCAATAGAAATAGATGGTAGAAAAAGAGGGGTTTCTCTGGGTCTCTTCAGTCTCTCTCCACCTGGTGGCATCCTGATGAAGAAGCCACACGCTAAGCGGTCGGATTTATCCCCACCGGGGGGCATCACGAAGAGGGGACAACATCTCAAATTATCCCGGCTATCGATTTTCGGGGCATTTGGCAGACAGATGGGATTTTGGAAGGAAAATAAAAACATTTTTGAAAAACCTGGAAGTCAGAATTTGCTGTTTTAGCTTGTAACAGCTTAAAAACTCAAATTCTCGTTGGCATCGATTTTCGCAGTTTGCATGCCAGAATATCCAATTACGCCATTAAATCCTGCATTACTCAAAAAGACTTCAGAACATCACAAATTATCCCTGGCATCGATTTTGCGGCCCTGGGCCAAATGAAATGGGCGCTTCGGCGGCCAGATCGGATTTTTGGACCGAAATAAAAATATTCTAACGAATCTGGAAATTAGAAGATCCGATTATGACATCAAATTCATCATGCTCACTACAAAAAGTCTATTGCCAGTCAGATAGGTTAGATTTGCAAGTCAGACTATCCGATGCCGTCACCATCTCTTTAGAATCACCCGAAAAAGATAATTTGTCACCAACACAAACTAAAAAAAATAAAAATAAACATAATTAAATTTAAGAAGTCAGATTGTCGATTACGACATGAAATACCTGTCGGCATCTCTTTAAAACAACCGAAAATCTTGATTTTAGGATCCAAATAACGCAGTAAAATCAATTTAAAGGCACTTTGCGTTCCAAAATATCCGATGCCGACATGAAATACATCTTACCACGTCTTTAAAACAAAAATAACAAGTATACAAAGCATTTTGAAGGTCAAAAACCTAAATTGTCCGTCAGAAAAGAGGATTCCAAGAAAATCAATTGCCAAGCTGAAGGGCGCCTCGAAAAGTGATAAGAATTCCGAGACTGTCTCTCGCTTTTAAGAAGGGCAATTGGTGTTGGGAAAGATTAGGCCACTTTTCGACTGTCAGGATGGGGTCAAATTCCCCCCAAATTGACACGTCCCATTTTCGAAAATGGCGTTTCCGCCCCACTTTCCATCAGCTTTTCCAAATATTACGTCAGCCAACAAAGCAAACACCAACAATAATCCACGTGTACACACGACACCTCTGTACGGTTGCGCTGTATTTGTTGTCGGCGTAAAAAAGGAAATTTTTGGCCTGGCGTTGGTCTCTTCTGAAGCGTGAAAGGGTGGACGAGTTCGTACGATTATTACGATTTATTTATTCCCCGTTTTGTGTATGTTGTGACATGGAAAGAGCACTTCGAGAGAGAACGAGAAAGGAGAGAGAGAACGAGATAGAGAGCGAGAGAGACACGAGAAAAACAACGATAAATTCTTTCGATAGGATCGCACTATACGATTTTTTGGTGGATTTCTGTAGCTTGTGGTCTAAACTGACAGCCACCTCGTCTAATTATAGACTTAAGACGCAAAAATTGGCAGACTACAAACTACAAAACCTTTTAAATCGGCCAGACAGACGAGAACCACGATAAATCCTCAGAAACGAACAGTATAATACGATTTTTCGTGGATTTCTGTAGCATGTAGTCTTAAATGACAGCCAGTTCGTCCAGCTATACTATTCAAGCTTTAAAATTCGTAAACGACAAACTACAGTATCCTCTAAAACCTCCAAAAACACTGGATTTGCTAGTACGGTCCTTTTAAAAGGTTCAAAAACAAATCTAGCCGATTACTGATACAGTAAAACTTTAGAAAACTGGATTAAAGTAACCGGGAAGTCATCAAAATTGGCAAAAATTTCGATTTTATGGATTTTCCGGTCCCTTTAAAAGGTGATATGGAGGACAGATAGGAAAGTTTGGATTGATTGATGAGATTTTAAGGATTACGATAGTATAATATACAATTGGGGCATTAAATAACGATAATAAATCAAAAATATCGATAAATATCGATCGATAAATGGTTTGTATTTACAATGCCATAGCCTGTTGATGTCTCAATGGAGAATCGACAAGAATATGACTCTGTCTTCTCTCGGAAACATCTTCAAAGAAGGGCAGGCCACGTTTCTTCGTCGGGCGGCGGATCACGAAGAATAGATCCTGGAAAATTCGGGTGGATTTTGGAAAATTAAAATTTGTTAAAAATCCCTGAAAAATAGATTTGATGCTCCTGGTTTTAAATGGAGCGTGCCAACTAGCTCGGATTTACCTAGCGTAATCTGATCTCCGGACGGCAGTTAGCTCAGGTTTTACTATCGTAATCGATTGTCTGGATGCCAACTAGCCGATTTTGATGGTGTAATCGATTATGTGATTGCCATCTAACTGTTTTTTGATGGTGTATTCGATTCACTGGCTGTCAGCTAGCCGATTTTAATTGCGTAATTTATAATCTGGCTACAACGTAGCTGTTTTTAATGCCGTAATCGATTATCTGGTCGCCAGTTGGCTGATTTGAATGGTGTAATCGACCCTCGCTTCCACCTAGTCGATTTTAGTCGCGTAATCGATCGTAAAAATTTCGAATTGCGTAATTAATTGGCTGACTGACAGCTAGACAATTAGTACTTTGAAACAAAATCCCTGAAAGAATTGCGAATTTTACGCCCTAATTACGACAGCTTTTTGTGCGTTTTCAACGCAGTTTGGTAGTTTGTCGTCGAGAACTAGAGCCGAAATCCTTACCTTGAACCCCCTGGTGAAAATATAGCACAGAATTGGGGTGACGAAGGCGAAGATATTCATTAGAAGATTCGAGAGGTCGACCAGCCAGTACCATGAATATACCACTTCTCCGACGACGATCCTGAAAAACGGCGAATTTTTGGGATTGTAACGGGATTCTGAAGGCAAAATATCGTTTTCTGGCCTGCAGAAAGATAGAAAAAGCTCTCCTTTGACCTATTATAGATTTTTATGACTTTTTAACGCCGAACCTGTGTTTTAAAGGGATTATGAAATCAAAATACCGTTTTTTGACCAGCAGAAAGCTAGAAAAATTCGTTTTTCCTCTATTATCGATTTTAAACTTAAAACTCACATAAATAGTCGAATGGAGGCCGATAAGGTGGAGCAGAGGAAGAAAAACAGGAATACACAGACTGTCAGATGGGCTGCACGGGTCTCGGTGTCCCGGCGCGGCATCTCTGTTGGCTGCAAAAAAGGCAAAATTGCGTCATATTTTTTAAATGATTTTACGATACCAAATTCTCATTTCCGATTTTTCGGACTTTTTTCGGACTACGGACTTTTAAAACATCAACTTTTTTCCGCGGAAAAATTCCAGAAGCGGTACGACATGAAATGGATGGCGGTTTCGCCGATTTTGCATTTTTAGAAGACGGGTTTATTCGATTACGCCATGAAAATCGAGTCTATTTTTAGCCAATCGATTACACTATCAAATAGACACACATCTAGAGGATCGTTTACGGTATTTAATGGCTCGTAGTTTGGCCGAAATTACGCATTTTGAGTTTTTAGAACGTCCGGCTATTCAGTTACGCTATGAAAAATGAGGCGATCTAGCCCATTAATAACGCCATGAAATTAATCCCCAGCCAATCGATTACGCGTTCAAAATCCGACCTGATCCTTCCTCAAAATGGACAGCATCGATCCATTCAGCCATAACAGAAGAGCTGCAGGCAATCCATAGACAACCATTCCATATATCAGCCCCTCTTGGATGAGCTTATATAGAGGGAGATTCTTGAGGACTGTTGTCTCCACAAACATTGTCTCTTCATTGTATCTGAAAGCATAGAATAGTCATCTGGATGGCAGATATATAGAAATAGATTTTAAAGGGCCACTGAAGACATGGTCCTTATTAAGAAGACATTGGGAAGGCAGAAACATGGAATGGTCTTGCCTTGCAAAGCCCTTTAAAGCCCAAATTGTTCCAATTGGCTGACTGCATGGCAGTTAAAATAGAACAATGGCAGAAAGGGCCTTTCAAAGCGCATTTCCACTTCCAGGCCGATTTAAAGGGACCAGCAAGGCAGAAATATGGAGTTTCGGGCTATTCTCTTGCCTTGCGAGCCCCTTTAAGAGTAAAAAATTGCTTGAATTGTGTGATTGCATGACAGGGTAGCTATTAGAATTGTTTAAAGGACCGTTGAAGGCAGATCTCGAGCTCCAGGCCGGTTTAAAGGAAACTGGCAAGGCAATGATGCGCCGCCTGTCGCGGCATGACCAAATCAAAAATTATGACTTCTCAGTCCCTTTAAAGCTCAAACTGACTCACCGGAATTCCCAGAATCGTATGATATTCAGACTGATTGCCAATAGGATGACGACAGCAACGGCAAGACGAGAATTTCGGATCCCGGCCAGCCGTTTCTTCCACGGATTGCTTGGGTGGCAGATTGCCTGAACTCATTGATTTAGAAGCCTCTAAAGTCCAATAATGCAAATTTTTTTTCGATGGAACAATCCATTTAAAATTAAACTGTCCTATCGCAAAAATGGCGAAACGGAGGCTCAAAAAGCGAGTTTTTAGCGATAACTTAATTTTTAATTTTTTTAGGAACGAAAAACCTTATTTTTCCTATCTTTTCTAATAAACGGACATGCCATGAACCATTCTAAAAAGTTACTGTAACAACTACGAGCCCATCTATACCAAGAATTTTCGAGTAAAATGACAATCAGCGGGCTCAACAAAAAGATTTTTTGACTCTAATTACATTTTTAAAATTTTCCACAATCAGAAAATTCGATATTCTTTAATTTTAAATTAAACTGGCTTGCAAGGAACTCGATAAAAGGCTACCGTAACCCCAACAAACCTGAAATCGTTGTGCACATATGAGGGTGAGCAGCCATATCGCCGCATAATTGACGGTCAATACAAGTGGATAGCCATAACGGACAGAAATAGAGGAGAGACGGAGGAGGAAGGAGGAGAGTTCTTTTGAGGAGGATGAGATATATTGCTCGATGGCTGGGAGGACGAGGACGAAGAGGGAGAGCAGCAGCTGGAGACCATTACAGATGGAGAGGGCCACCAGATAGGTTAGGAGGGATGTCTTCCGGAAATAGCCGTTGTTTGACACGCTGAAAAATGAATTATAAATAGTTTTTCTTGTAGTTTGTCGTCCAGTTTGTAGTTTGGCGGGCAGAAAAATCAATTTTATAGTTTCTTTTTTATTTTATAGTTTATAGCCCTTGGAAAATCGGAAAAATTGGCTTTTCGGCTTTAGTGGTATTTAGAAACCGTGATCGTTTTAGACGCTCAAAATCGAATAATTTTTATTGTTATTCGATAACTTGTAGCCAAATTTGGAGTTTGGAAGCCAGAAAACACATTTTTGCCAATGTGATAGTTTGTAGTTTCCGGAAAAGCGAAAAATCGGATTTTTGTAGGCTATGGTAGCTGAATCTTTGCGGTTTTTCTAGTCCAAGGCTGTATAGTTTGTGGTCCCGTTTTGAATTTGGATGCCAGAAAAACGATTTTGCACAATTTTATAGCTTATAGTTTCCGGAGAATCGAGCCAGAAAATGCCAGAAAAACATTTTTATCGATGTTATGGTTGGTAGTTTTGAGATAATTGGGAAAATTGGATTTTTATGGGTTTAGAATTTGGAGCCGTTTTGCAGGCGTTGTTACTGGACTTTGTAGTTTGCGGTTTGTAGTTTAAATTAGTCTTGTTTTTCAGCGGGATCGATCGATTTTCTCGAGAAAAACTGACCAAAAGAAGACGGCGACACAGGCACAATTCAGGAGAAATCCCAGCGAACAGAGAAGGGGCTCGATGAATACCATCAGCACACAACTGAAATCGATAGTTTGTAGTTGGTAATCTGTAGTTTGTAACGTTGCGTACTGTAGGGTTTATATTGTCCTACAGTAACATGTTGCCGTGCACCAATGGCTTTTTAATGTCCCAACCTCATCGTTGCCCCACGGCAATCGATCGCCCATGATGAGGATGATGAGTCATTTGACGACATCTTATGGAGCACCAGCTCGTCCTCCAGAAATTCAGCAACGCGACGAACAATCGATACTGAAACCAGAAGTGACGAGAGAGCGAGAGAGACGGACAGAGAGAGAGAGAGCGATAAAAAGAAATTTCTACCGGGGGATGAGCGATTTTTGGCGCATTTCGTAGTTTGTAGCGACCAGCTTATTATCAGAAAGCTGATTTCTGATCAAACTGACATCCAAATAACATAAATTCTTCCAAAAACGGGAGTGAAATTAGAGATTCTGGCAAAATGACCGTAAAACAGCGTTTTTCGCTCTTTTTGTAGCTTGTAATCCTTAAAATCGTCAACTGACTAGCAAAAATCCGATTTCTCATCTAACTGGCATCCAATTACCATAACCCGAACGAAAAATGTGGCGAAAACACAAAGATCAGGGCTCGAAACTCGAAAATGTTTTGCTAAGAAGAAGCATAAAGGATATCTGGACGTCGAGTCGAGGTTTTTTTTGTGAAGAAAAGGTGGACAAGAATCGCGGCGTAATTTGGAGTGTATGGAATAGAAAAGGGGAGAGGAAAGGAATAGAAGATGCCTTAAGGGACATTGACACAAAAGGAAGGAGGGAGAGAAGGGAATTCTAAGGGCAAAACGGGATTGAGAATTCAATTCTGAAAGGGGGGAAGGGAAGGACGGGGATTCGAGGAATTCTGAAGAAAAGGATAGGGGAGGGAATAGAATTTGAAACGAAGAAGAGAGAGAGAGAGAGAGAGAGCGAGAGAGAGAGAGAAATGCTCAATTTGATGCCACAAATCACGATCTTACCTCCAATGGAACGCAATGAAGAGACCAGGATAGAATACAGAGTATAAAAAGCCTTGTAAGGTTCAAAAATCAGTATTCTGGATGCCAAAATAGCAATTGACACGGGTTTTGTAGTTATTTGTAGCTTTTCGAGGAAGCCGGACGCACCAATGGCTAGGCTGGGTGCCAGTTAGAGTACGGAACATTCCGAAAGACGTCACTATAAAGATAAAAATATTTTTGTACGCGGAATTGGGACGTCAGTTTGGCCAGCGAATACGATAGGTCACGCAGAAGACAACGCAAAGCTTATTTGTTCGCTTTTTGAATATTTCGAATTTTTCGCTTATTCCCAGTTGGACTACAGGATTTGTACTACAAACTACAGAACAATCACCTCAACAATGGATTTCTGGGATTTTGAAAGATGTTATTCAGTTTGACTGTCACCAAAAAGGATTTTTCTAAGATATTCAATTTCTTTAATTCTTGGCTGGCTAATTGAAAAACCCCCAAAATATGCAAAGTCAGCAAAAAATGAATTTTTTCGGGCTTTGAAACTTTTAAAAGGCCGTCCGCGGGTCACCCGAACGGACCCCAATATGGCTTGGCACAGTTTTTTTTCGACCCCACTTTTTTGACGCCATCGGATAGAGCATGGTCGAATTAGTGGGACTGCATAGTTTTGAAAGTTTAAAAAGTTTAATTTGGGGGTTTAAATGGACGTTGAAGTTGCAGACCCCCAAAAATTATCTTGGAAGTTACTTAACCAAATTCGCTGAAAATTTGTGCCAATACCTAATTTTGGACGGGGATCATTTCTCTAATACATTGCAAAGCGTGAAAATGGCCGGAACATAGGAATCTCGCGTACACAAAACAGTTTTTGGAGATTTTCGTTGTGAAGGATTGTTGGCTGCGCGCTGTAAATAGCATAGAAAGATGCGCAAAAACTTTCTGCATCGAATGGTGTATCATTTAGCGCGCAGACAGTAACCCTTCATTTTGAAAAAAGGGCTTATAGGGTACCAAAAAGAAAAAATTCGAATATTTATGAAAACTAAAACATGGACTCCCATCTAGAGGGTCCAACCGCACGATCGCAAAAAAGAGCAAAAAGAAATTCGTCTTTTGAGAGGGGGCTGGGATTGAACTCGGGTCGTTCGCCTGGGACATGGCGGCGCCCACTAGCGGCTGTCCCCAGTGCCCCCAAGGCGGACCATCGCGGGTTCGATCCCCGCAAATCGTCAGTTCCGAGTGGGAAGGGAATTTCTTTTTGCTCTTTTTTGCAATGGATACAGTTTTATCTTTAGACCCCATACCCGTTTCCGATTTTTCAAAATATGCAAACCTCGGGAGTACGTTACAGCTTTTCTCCCGTTTAAAAATCGCGTTTTTTGAATATGAAGGATTACTGTCTGCGCGCTAAATGATACACCATTCGATGCAGAAAGTTTTTGCGCATCTTTCTATGCTATTTACAGCGCGCAGCCAACAACCCTTCACAACGAAAAACTCCAAAAACTGTTTTGTGTACGCGAGATTCCTATGTTCCGGCCATTTTCACGCTTTGCAATGTATTAGAGAAATGATCCCCGTCCAAAATTAGGTATTGGCACAAATTTTCAGCGAATTTGGTTAAGTAACTTCCAAGATAATTTTTGGGGGTCTGCAACTTCAACGTCCATTTAAACCCCCAAATTAAACTTTTTAAACTTTCAAAACTATGCAGTCCCACTAATTCGACCATGCTCTATCCGATGGCGTCAAAAAAGTGGGGTCGAAAAACAGACTGTGCCAAGCCTAGTTCGGGTGGCTCGCAAACGGCCTTTTAAAGTCTTTACTGGTCGCCAGCTTAACTAGAATTTTTAATATCCTTGGCAGCCTGCCAGGTAAACTACAAAATGCCTTAAAATCAGCAACAGAGGGAAATTTTTTTCGTAAATTTTAGATGTTCAAAGCCTTTACTGGCCGCCAGCTTGACTACCTGACCACTCGGCTGGCCCAAAATACGGGGCTGGTGAAGTGTTTTTAGGAGGGGAGGAAAGGACGACTAACTGGCCCCCAGGGAATAGAAGTGAGGAGGAGAACAAAATAGAAAAGCCCTATTCTCAATCTATCGTCATTACATCGATGTTGTTTTCAGGTTTTCAGGTTGTGGCGTGCACCGCCAAAATCGTACAATAAAATTCGGGGGACGGGAAAAGACAAATTGAAGAGTAATTGAAGGGGTAATAAATTTAAGGGGAGAGGATGGATGACGATAGTAGCGGGCGGAATCGATGGAATGGACGGCAGATTAGAGAATTACCCGATTAAAAATAAATCTACAGCTACCAAAATAGTTTATTTTGATAATGTAGACCAAATTTGACCCGGAAATCCAGAAAATGCATGCCAGATTGAGGATTTAGCTGAGCAAAAATAGTTATAAAAAACGGAACAGGTTTTCCTGCACCTTAGTTTCGTTGACTGGCTGCCAGATAAGCTACCCAGGTGAAAGTTGGCCCCGTTGGACTACGATAGGGCAAAGTAGGGCCCTAGAGGGGATGATGATTTGGTATGCAATTGATAAGAATGGCTGGCAGGGGTTGAATTGTGAAAAGGAGGGTGGGAATTAGGACGGGTTTATAGGAATCGAGCCGAGTGGAATAATGGAATAGCCGGAAAGAGAAATCGAATGGAATTGCCAATTGACTAAAGGGAGAAGAAGAAGAAGCAAAGGCAAAGCAACGAAGGGACTGGCTGTGGTACCTGAAAACAAACATTCCTTCTTCTTCTTCTTCGTAGTACTTCCTTCTTCTAGCTTCTGCTATCTACCCCAAATTCACGTTTACAATCAAACCAATTGGATGTCAGCTCAGTCAGGGAAAACAACCTAGAACCCGGTTACTCCCGAAATATCGAAAACCGATATTTTTTGTTGTTCTGGCACCAAGCCAACCTCTACGGATTTCCAGAAAATCGTAATTGATGGCATAAAGGGATGCCGACGGCATAGTCAATGGGTTACGCGCTGTAAAGGAAATGTATCTGCGCCTCTCCCCTGGGCGCGCTCTCTGCCCTGTTGGCTACTTGCCAATTTGTTGATGAGGGGGATCGACACATGCCGTCGGTAGCCCTTTAAAAGACATTAGCACTAACTGCCAACCAGAAAAAAACAATAAAACAAAAAAAATATGGGGTCTCGAATCTTTTACCGGAGTTCACAAGCCAAAATTCGATAGAATTTCCCCAAATAGTCAACGCCCAGGGTTCAAAAAGACACCCCGAAATGGGTTCGTCGGGTTTTTGAATCGGATGGGGCAATTTTTAGCCTGGTGGAGAATGGGGAAGGGGAGAATCGTGGGAGACATTCTCTCTGTCTGCCAGTCAATGCATCTAGCCATTTGTTTCTCTATTCATTTGTCGTGATGTCCAAATATCGGAGGGTGTCAAGAGGAGTGTGGCGTAGACTTGGGTCGGAGATAGACAGAGAGAGAGAGAGAGAGAGAGAGAGAGAGAGAGCGAGAGCGAGAGCGAAAACGGCATCCCGAGTTGTGAATATTTCATGTCGATTTGTGTCCCTGGTGTCTGTCTGTCTGTCTATCTGTCTCTCTCTCTCTCTCGTCTATCTGTCTGTCAAAGAATATAGAAAAGCTTCTTCCTCATACTAATGACGATTCTGGAGATGATGAGGATCTTTTTTTTCTCTCTCTTTTCTGCCTCTTTTCCTTTCAAAATGGGCATCCCTCCCCTATCCCCCTAACAATAACAATATATAGTAATAAGGATATGCAGGGGATATGTGCCATCCCTCAAAAACATCCATCCATCCACCACCCAGAGGATGGGACTAAGGCCCCGCCAAACCCCCTAAACAATCAAATCTGGAGGTCAACTGCAAGCCATCGGGTGACGATCAGCCTCTAGGAAATTATTTTAGTGCCGAGATGTCATTGCACCTTGAAAAATCGGCTAAATCGATGGCAGCTTCCCGAAGAACTTCAAAATGATTCTGCCAAGCTTTTTACAGGGGCCGGAAAGGAAGCCTAAATCCAGAGAAAACCGCAAACAATCAAGTCTGGAGGCCATCTGAAAGGCAGAAGTGTCGACTTGGCTCTAAAAATTGTTGAGACGATTAGCTGACATTGTTCCTTGAAAAATAGGCCAGCTGCATTGCAGATTATGTGAAAACCGAAAAAGCGCGTTGCTAGCCACTTTAAAGGTCTCTTCTGGGATCTGCAATGGCGATTTTGCGCTCGGAAATGGGCTTTGATGGCTAGCTGATACCGTACCTGAAAAATCGACTAGCGGGATAGCAGATTACGTGAAAAAGGGTTGACATTTCGAATTGGATGTCATTGTCCCTTTAAAGGACCCGAGAAGGCAAAATTTGTGATTTTTCACTGTTTTCAAGATTTTGAAGTTTCGCGATACGAAAAACACGCTCCCTCGGATGCCAAAAACTATGGTAGTCGCTTACGCGATGGAAATAAAGACCGTAAGCGTTGCTTGTCGCGGCGCAGTCGAATAATATCGTCAATCCATAGCGAAAAATCCATAAGTCCGCCTGGCCAGTCCCTTTAAAAACTAGAAAATAAATTTTTTAGGTAAACTGACAGTCAGTTTATATAAATTTAAAGTTAGATCGCCTTAAAAATGCGATCCGTCCGTCAGTCAAGCTGAAAACCCAAATACCAGCCTCAAAACTTCTATGCTGTTTGACATTTCGGAGTCAGATAAATATGAAGAAGCAGAAGAAGTCTGGAAAATGGAGAGATGGGATGGAGAAGACTGCAATTATTTTTATTATCGAGAGGCACGCAACTTTTCAGAATCTCACGAAGGGGAGAGAGGGGGATTCAAATTCGAGAGAGAGCAGAGAGAGCCCGCATTTTTGGTTGAAAGGCCCTGGAAGAAGAGATTTTAATTGGGATCTGGTCCAATTAGAGGATACTGAAAAGCTGGGATTTTGAGACACATCTCTGTCTATCACTATCGCTCTGTCTCACTCTGTCTCACTCTCTCTGTCTCTCTCTCTCTCTCCCTTTGTCTCTCTCTCCCTCTGTCCCTCTCTCTCTCCCTTCAAAAGGATGACTCGACAAATTGGGTGCCCCAATTTTCCGATTTTTAATAGCCCGCTGGTTGCAGTGGATGGCAGATGGAAGTCTCGCGGAATCAAAGAAGAGGCATACTGTAGTAAAATTCAAAAAACGGGTATAAAGGGAGCGTGACAGCAATTTAAATAGCGTAATCGATTACAATCTGAGTCAGTTAGTCAGAGGTTCTCCTCGAGATTATTGTGTTTTCAGAGAGACTGAAGACACCACCGATTTTGGCCACGTTTCTGAATATGGTGGCAATTAGAGCGGGGAAAGAGAGAGAGAGAGAGAGAGAGAGAGAGAGAGAGAGAGAGGAAGGGAGAGAAGGAGAGAGATACTCAAAAAGAAGGGATAAGACGATAAATAGGGTGGAATAATGGAGTGTTTCGAGGGAGAAGGAAGGGGACGAATTCAACAATTCACTGCGTAAGAATGGAAAAAATGGAATTTTCGAAAAGGGGAAGATAGAGAAAGGGTAAATACACGTAAAATAGCGCCTCTTTTAAGGATTTTATATAGCCAGAATGGAATGAAAATCGCGATTTTGACTGGATCGAGGACTTTTTGATTGTCTACTCGTCCATATGGCCATAATTTAACATGTGGTTTCTCTATCCGTCTGTCTGTCTCTCTCTCTCTCTCGCTCTTGCTCTCACTGCCAGCCATCAACAATTTTCACGACTCATTAATGCTCCGATCAACCGCTAAAACCGCAGCTCCACCCCGAAACTAGAAACTGTCTGGAAACTCGTGTTTTGGCGGTTGTAGTTTGTATTTTATAATATTTTCCGGTAAACTGACGTCTAGCTAAAAAATAAATATAGTTTATCGTTCTTCCAGGGTCCATTCGAATGGTGGAGGTGTCTGAAGGATACCAAAAATCGGTTTGAGGGATGGGAGGGGAGAGCAGGGAGTGGCTGGGAGGAGGCGATATCGTTGCACCATAGCCAGAGTGATGAGGAATACCTGGAAAATCGAGGGGATATTGATTGATATCGATTGATTGCCTGACGGGGTAGTGGAATACTTTGACCGCGACGCGCCACGCAACGCGCAATCACTCTTTGCGCCGTTAAGCGGGGCGCATCCGATTACGCAATGAAAGGCAAGCGGTTGCGTGGCGTGTCGCGGCGGTTCAGTTTTTTAATGGACAAAAACGAAAAAACTAGCTTTACCATCTACGAAATTTCCTAAATCGCGCCCCGCGACACTCAACGCACCTGGTGGTTTCCCCCCTAAAACCGTGTAATCGATTACGCAATAAAAAGTTAAACGGTCGCGTTGCGTCCCGTTTGAGTTTTCAAGCGCGGGACACGCAACGCGCAGCCACTTTTTCGCCGTTCCAGTGGCGTAATCGATTACGCAGGGAAACGTTGGGCGCGCGCGTTGCGTGTCGCGGCACGATAAAACCGCGAGCAATCCATAACCATAATATCGGCCATTTTTGCCTTTCCAATCCCTTTAACCCGTCAAAAAACTGTACCTCCATGCGGGCCAACGCTTCCCCAGCACATTGACGTTTTCCCAACGAGAAGGCGATCACCTAAAAATTGCCTATTTTACAAAAATTAGGATTTAAAATTACAAAGCAATTCCAATAGAATCTTATAAAAAATCCTTAAAATAAGATACCATTAAAATTACAAAACTAAAAATAAATAAAAATTATTCTAATTTCTTGCCTTTTCCATCCGATCCTTCCTCAATTGAATTGCCCCATCTTTCGTTCTTTTGATGAATCTCTCCGGATTGAATTGATCAGGATTTTCGAAAAGCTCTTCTGCTGTCAGAACGGCACTTATTTGCGGGAGTACGGTAGAACCTGTAAAATCGAGGATCCTGTATTTTCAAAAAAATGTTTTAGGAATGGCTTTGTAATTTTCCATTTTTAAGCGAGTTTAAACTTTATTTACTTTTGACTGATTAAATAGCATTCGTCATTTTCGCTATTTCTCGATTTTTGAAAAATACTTGATTCGATTACATTAGTTCAAAATACAGTACCTGCAGGGATAAAATGTTTTCCCAGCCGGTCATCCCGATATGTTTTATGAAAGACGTTGAATGTCACAACATTTGCCATACGATGGATTTCACAGATTACTGCCTAAAAATGGGTAGGGGTTACGGTAGAAGACGGTATTTACAGTTCCATACGGTGCGGTATTGTAAAGGGCGCGTGCCAGCTAGACAACAGACTACGGTAAATTGGGATACAAACTGCAAAATTTCCACAGAAAAACGTCAAACTCGGAAAATTCGCCAAATCATTCAATTGATCTAGCTGTCACGCTCCCTTTAAAAGTTTCAATTTGCATTATTTTAAAGGCGGCGTGTCAGCTTGAAGACAGCGTACTTTAAAACCTCGTAAAAATTGCAAAATCCTCCCAAAAATGCAAAAAATCACGCAAAATAACCCGAAAATCTCGAAAAATTTGTAATTAGGGTAAAATTAGGAAAAATTTGTTAAATTTTCCCCAGATGTCACGCTCCCTTTAAAATGCGGCGCTTTTTTTCCTTACCTGTGCATAGGGCATCTGTGCTTTATCCCCAATTGAGATCATTCTATCACCAGCCACCCCCCGGATCTCATCTGCCAGTCTCTCCTTAACGCATAAATAAATTCGGAAATTCGATAAAAATAAAGTTTTGGAATTCGTTTGGAAGTTTTTTTCGTTTGGAATCGTTAAACTGACAGACAGTTAGTCAAAATACATTTTTTTTTGTGCGGCGTACATCTCCGTAATGTAGCGTACTCAAGTGTACTGTAACGTACTCTCAAGCACTCTACCGTAACCCAAAAGGAAAGTAATAAAATCTGCTCTCCATAATCACTAAACAGTCCAGCAGCCACGAGAAAACGGGCTTACTTTTTGTCTATCTTACCCTACAGTACGCAAAAGTACGCTACAGTACTCTATCGTACTCTTCCGTACGCTACCGTAACCCATAAATCAAGCCAAGAAAATCTAAATTTCTTGTGTAACTCGCTAAATTGTCCGGCAGGCAGTAAGAATCGGCGCTTTTTGTTTTTTGTAGGCTACAGTACTACCGTACCAGCCCATACTGAAACGTACTCTACCGTACCTGTACATCCGGATGTGCTGTCAACAATACAATTGCCCATCGAATTGTCGTGGCCGCTGTTTCCATACCTAGATAATTCTGGCCTCTACTAAAAACTCGAAACTGACCAGCGAGCCAGAGATCAGTGACCGTATTCACCAGATTGTCGTAGGTGAAGCTGGCAGAGGGACCTTTTCGCGTCATTTCCTGCAAAAACTTTTGGATTGGCTGGCAGATCGACCGTTTTTTGGCAAAATACCAGACAGTTAGAAAATTAGTAGTAGTTATCGGCAGATGAACATTTCTTTAGCTAAACTGACATCCAGATAACCGAAAAGTGTGATGAAACCGGAAATTTGGCCTACAAAAACTGCTGGTTTGGAAGGCAGATAGTTAATTTTTCGATAAACTGGCAAACAGATAGGTGATTAAACACTGCTTTTCGTACAGAAAAACCTTTCATTAGCTCAACGTGCATCCAGATAACCTAAAAATCCAAAAAAACCGACCTGTTTGTATTGATTGACAAAAGAGGGCTCCTCTCCAGATTGTTCGATTTGCCTCTCGACATATCCAATCAATTCCTCGGCAATTCCCCTCAATTCATGGTATCCCCATTTGCCAATCAGGGGCAGGTGGCGGGTCCAGGGGAGCGCCTGGAAGTAAAAGAGGTCAAAAAGCTAGCTGTCACTGTCTCTTTAAATTCACAAGAAAAGGCACAGGGAAACATAACCAAGAAAAACCATAGCCCTGTCGTAAGTCGCTTAAAAAAGTACCTGAACGATTAGAACAGACGCCCGACTTCTCACCATCTGCATGGCCAAATCGATTCGGTCCTGAAAATCGAGTAACTGATGTGAAAATCCCAAAAATGAAACTTATGAGCTATCGTACCTGATAGTGCTTGAGTTCTTGTGATTGTTGATGAGGAACAGATTGTCCGAACAGGATTTCATGGACTACATTCCCCACACACAGATGGAGTGGCCAATTGATGTCGATGTTTGAGGAGGCTGGAATGGCATGGGGTAAGGTGCTTTAAAGGCGTGACCGTGGATTTTTTTAGCTATGGATTTTATATAAATTTTGCCGCGACGCGACACGCAACGCAACGCGCAACCCGGTTTCCATTGCGTACTAGATTACGGCGGTTAAACGGCGGCAAGTTGGGCAGCGCGTACGAGTCACGTGGCGCGGAGGATCGGAAGCGAAGGTTAAAGGAACGCATACAGGGTGGTTATGGATTTTTCCACCACGCTACACGCAACGCACGCTCTGGTTTCTCATTGCGAAACCGATTGTGACGCCTTCCGGATTTTTCAAAAATTCGAAATTGAAAGAAAAAGGAATCGGCCTGTGTCGAGTCGCTAATTTCCATGGATACTGCCGCGACATGCGGCGCCCATCCGTATTTTCATTGCGTAAATGCTCACCCACGCCTTCAAAAGGGTCAGGCGATACAGGCGCATTGCGTATTGCTGTCAAAAAAATGCTTTTATTCGTATTTACATTACGTAACGTTTTAAAATTTTGGCGAAGCGACCTACGCGCGTTGTGCTTCGCGGCGCTGAAAAATTCAGAGATTTGCCTTTCTGAGCCCTTTAATGAGTCGAAAACAAACTCAGCCAACTCACGTAGCGTGTCGAGATGATCGAATAGTATTTGTACAGAAGATAGGATCTTTGCCTCCATCATTCTCGATCCGACACCAAATAGACGAAGACATTGAAGGGTGAATGTTCTTTGTTCTGTCCATTCCATTCCCTCAGAAAAGATGATCCCTCCATTTGGCACATTCATAAATAGGGAATCCGAAGGGTTGTCGGGGCGACTAAAAATGAAAAATTCAATTTTCGTTGAGGTACTGTAGTTTTACCTTTGCAATCTTGTATTATAAGTTATTTCTATAACTTCTGGACTAAATCAGGTTAATTGGATGTCAATTAAGGAAAAAACAGGGGCTTTACTATAGTTTTATCCACTTCCGGTCCCATTTTCACCCGATCTTTGGCAAATAAAATGTACAAAGGAGATGCGTGGAGAGTACAGCAGATATATCACTTTTCATATGGTATAAAAACGAGAGAAGCGAGAGAGAGAGAGAGAGGGAGAGAGAGAGAGAGAGAGAGAGAGAGAGAGAGAGAGAGAAAGATGAGGAAGTAGATCACTACAACCCAGCTGATCACATTTTCACCCCTCAAAAGTGTTCCCTGGTGTGTGACCAGCTAAAATACAGGATATCCAGTTACGTTATCATATTATCTGGAATACGGGCTACACTGTAGGCTGGTTTATAAGGCGAAAACTATCGACTACAAGCTACGGACTACGAAATACAACCCTCTTGCACTTGAAAAATTCGTGACCGTGTGAAATGGACCACAAACTACGCCATGAACCGATTGAACTGACTACAGACTACAAACTACAACCCGGTTTCAATTAGAAATTTTTCTGAAGTGTAAGCTGGACTACAAACTACACGGTAAGACAGCTTCTACCTCCAAAACGACCGGCTACAAACTTCAACCCTCGCTCACCTGGAAAAATTGTCGGCTTTCGGCCCGAGCAGCGCTTCTTTATGCTCATCATACCCCGTAATAACAATAACAGGAAGTGGAAGAAATACAGTAAATACAGGGCCATATGGTCTCCCGATTGCTTCGATTGTCTTGTGGGGATATTGGCTGATGGCCAGCTGGGGTAAATTCCCGATAATAGGCCATGGAAATGGACCGGGAGGGAATTGACGGACCCATCTGTAGTACGCTACAATACCCCAAATGATGGCGAGGAGGAGGACGGCTAGCATTGTGAATAGGTTTGGTGGAATACAGTATAGCAGAATAATAAATAGTTACCGTAGTGGGAATCGGTTTCGGTTTTCCGGTTTTCTGTATGACAGTTGCAATAAATCCGGTATATTTTTTGTAGTTTATAGCTTTCGGAAATTTTTCAAGCTATTTTTCGCTCAACTGGGTGCCAGTTGGGTTGAATCCAGAATATCTTTGTAGCCTGTAGTTTCCAGAATTTTCTAGAGCGTTTTTTTGATGAACTGCGTGTCAGTTAACGCAATTCCGGAATATTTTCGTAGTCTGTAGCTTTCGGATTTTTTTTACAGCGAGGTCTCGGTTTGCTGCCTGTCAGTTAAACAGAATCCAAAATATTTCGCGAATCCGTAGCTCCAGAAATTTTCTGAAGTAATATTAGTGTACGCTGGCTGACAGTTTAGTGCTTCTGACTTCCAGAGATCACAAAACGGGGGCAGAATGCCCTCTTTTCGGGGTGTTCAACTGGTTTACTGTCGATCCGAGACGTGCCGATCCCCCCTCTTGTTCACTGATAACACACTCTATTCAGGAAGTAATTTTCCTGGGCCTATTAGCTGTCAGTCTGCCGGAATTCTGATAGAAAAATGGCAGGGGTTGTGATGCGGAATTTTTTGATGGATATCTCGATTCTATGGATGGCAGTTAGCTTCCGGGTCCAAAATAGGTCTGTCAACAATCAACTGTCTGTCAGTTAGCCGGAATATTCCCTAAAAAATCCAGAAAAATAGCTGGAAAACGAGGGAGTCAGTAAGAAGTCAGAAAAACGGTCGAGATCGAGACGGACTTTCCCTGTGCTCATGCTCAAAAAAGGGAGGAGGAGGAGGAGAGAGACTGACTGAGAGACAGACAGATTGACAAACAGACAGATGAGAGAGAGAGAGAGAGAGAGAGAGAGAGGGAGAGAGAGAGAGATTCGTGATAAGCGAGCCTCATAGTTCGAAACGAAATTTCCCCTTTTTTTTCCTCTTCCGTCTTCGTGTGCGGTATTTCTGCCCTCCCTGCCCTGTTTTCTTGTTTCCTAATTTGTGTCCTTGTATTCCCTCTGCCTTTCACGTGTTATTTGATACGATTCGAAGGCCAAAGACAAGAATTCCACACCCAATTATCGGCACAGGTTTTGTCGTTTCCGGTTCAGCGACCGAAATGGATGCCAGGTCGGGTGATTGATTTAAAGGGAATGAGCACATTTTTCAGAGTTACGCAAAAAACTGCGCGCGTACCGATTACGCGATGAAAATTTGGGCATGCGCGTTGCGTGTCGCGGCGCCGTGTGGAAAAATCGATGGAAAAATTCATACATGCCTTTTCCGTCTCATAAGAGGTGTCGTAATCGATTACGCAATAAAATACGGAAAATCTGTTTAGAATCCATTCCAAAAATCCATAAACTGCCTTGCAAGTCCCTTTAAAACCTCAAATTTCCTGGTTACCCGATTTTTTTCTGCTTCTTATCGCTCTCTTCCCTTTCTTCCAATGTCCCTCTCCCCCCACCTAGACTAGAATTCATTTATTCAGTTCTGCTGTTTGGAATACAATAATATACTGTAGTCCTCAATTTTGCTTGTAGCGATCGATAATAAATATCAGAATTTGATAGCTGGAGTGCTGGAGGGATGGATTAAACGGGCGGCAGTTCGTGTGTTCGAAGGTGGTACGCATGGGGTCGTCGGCTACAAAAAGAATTAAGATAATACCAGGGTTGAAAAGGCGCTTCGCGACTTTTCAACCCTGGCCCCGTGCTGGACGAATGGAAGCTTACACTTTGTATAATTCTCCCCAATTCCCGTTAAAAAAAGTGAAAAATACGCTCTCTGCTCCTTTAAATAGGCTACCGCCACTTCCGGTGTATGCTAATTGATTCCTAACAAAGAGAGTCTCGGATTTTTCAACAAAAACTAAATTTAATGTCGGAAATAGGCGATTTTGGTCAATCCGATATGTGTGCAGTCATCTCCAGACCATTACGCTCCTAATGACGTATCAAACATGCCCCTAACTACTCTCCTTCTTGAGATACTGCTGGAACACGGTGACGGAAGTTGCATGCAAAGTGGCACACACACACAAACACTATTTTTTTTATATACCAGGGTTGAAAAGCCGCTTCGCGACTTTTCAACCCTGGCCCCGTCTGATCCCATGATATGCTGCACTTTGCATAATTCTCGTGATTTTTGATGAAAAAAAGGAGAAACGCTGCCTCTCTTCCCTGATATAGGCCACCGCAACTTCCGGCGTATGCTAATTGTTTCCTAACAAAGAGGGTCCTGGATTTTTCAACAAAAACTTAATTTTAACGTCGAAAACAGCTAATTTTTCAAAGTTTTATGATTGTGCAGTCATCCCAAGGCCATTACGCACCCAATGAGGTATAATACATGCCCTAGCTAACCCCCTAATTGAGATACTACTGGAACACGCTGACGGAAGTTGCATGCAAAGTGGCACACACACACACACACACACACACACACACACACACACACACACACACACACACACACACACACACACACACACACACACACACACACACACACACACACACACACACACACACACACACACACACACACACACACACACACACACACACACACACACACACACACACACACACACACACACACACACACACACACACACACACACACACACACACACACACACACACACACACACACACACACACACACACACACACACACACACACACACACACACACACACACACACACACACACACACACACACACACACACACACACACACACACACACACACACACACACACACACACACACACACACACACACACACACACACACACACACACACACACACACACACACACACACACACACACACACACACACACACACACACACACACACACACACACACACACACACACACACACACACACACACACACACACACACACACACACACACACACTATTTTTTTATATATAGTAGGATAGTAGGATCGAATAGCCTACAGACTACAGACAGCAGACTACGAACTACAAACTACAGGCCATAGACCGCAAACCCAAAAAACCCACTTACCGTGCTGATTCCCGAATTTCCCGCCCTAGCGAATGACAGTTGAGACGTTGGAATGAGTGGACGGCACGTTTGAAATTCTGAAAAATTGGTTAAATATATTTTAACGGTAAAAAGCTAAAAATGACAACTACAAACGGGCATGCAGACTTCCATTGAAATACCATAAACTCGAGTTTGAACTAGTAAAATATTTTTAAATTGAAAAGACAATTACAAAACGCATACTGGCATCCGGTAAACTGACTTGAGGCCCAAAAACAAAAAGAAATAGATTTTTACCTTCTCCTTCTGCCATGGCACAATCAAATTGGCGACAAAATGCCCGTGCGCATCCCGATTGGCCATGATTAGCACTCGGGCGCTAAAATACGGAAATTTGGATCCGGGTACGGTATCGGGATAAAATAGCTAATTTTTGAAACGACTCTGGATTTGCGCAAAACCCAAGTCAATCGATAATAAGCGATCAATCGATCGATATTGGGCGGAAGTGCCTCTTTTTCTCTGTCTTCTCTACCCGTTATCTCTCACGCCGTATCGGCCCGAATTTCGATTTTTGCCTAATTTTGGCGGGTTTTTTCGCAAATTTGGGGCCGAATAAAATCCATATAAAATTTCTCTCGCACCTTTTATCCGTCGTCTCCAAGACTTCACATGGACAATCCTTGCCCTGAGCCGAGAGTTGGATTTCCTAGAAATTATCAATTTTTGTTAGTGGATGAATGATTTAATTGTCCAGCAACTAATTTTCTAAGGGACTGGCACGGCATTCTATGGATTTTGTTGGCAATGGATTTCCTTCTGGATTCTCCGGCGCCCGCGACACGCAACGCGCGCGTCAATAGTTCCATTGCGAAATCGCTTACGGCAGCTTTACAATAGCCAAGCGTTCCTTCTGGATTTTCTACGCGACGCGCACGCTCTCTCTCTCTCTCTCTTGGAGCGCATTTTTGTTGCGGAATCTCTTACGACACTTAAATCGCAGTCATGCCCTGTTTAGGACTGGCAAATTCCATAGTCATGTCTTGTCCGGCTCCTTAAAAGACTAGATTTCATTTGTTAGGGCGCCAATCGTCAATCTGTCTGATTCTCTACGCGCGCGTGCGCTCTCTCGCGCTCTCTCTCTCTCTCGCTCTCTCCATATACCTACCGTTTCTCCAACAGATCTCCTTCTATCCCCCTTCTTCAGTGATCTCGCATTCCTTACTTTGATCGAATTCGACGAGATCTTCCCCAGTTTTCCTTTCACCACTAAAACGAGTTGTTATCTGGGTTATCAACTAGTTTTGGCCGGTTTTCGAGAGATATACGGTAAGCCAGAGTGCAAAATAGCCGCGTAGCTCGTGTTCGTGCTCTCTCCAACTCACCCAGGGAACTCCTGCAAAAGTTGTCGACCAGGTTTTCATAAGTAGCAACTTGCTGGCAGGCTGCACATGTCGATTCCGTTGCTGAAAAGCGTTGATTTTTGCGTACTGATCTCTTACGGGGGGGCAAATCAAAAAGGCGAAAAATGTTGAAATGTTCTAATTTGCCAATTTTTTTTTTGGAGCTCGGGTAGCATTTTGGCACATACTAGAGAGTTTTTACCCCCCCACGCTAATAGGCCAGTCCCAATTTTACCATCTCCTAACTCTAAACTGTCATCCGCCAGTTGAAAAATGCAACCTTGTTTTTTTAACGAAATTGATGTTTTGACAGGTGACGAGGGAAAGGGAGAGGCAGCAGCGCCTTGAGCATCAGTGGGTGGGATCGAATTTCTCAGGGCGGCAAGATCAAAAGGAATCTATCTGTCTGTCTGTCTATCTATCCGTCTATCTGTCTGTCAATATGTCGATCTGTTCTGCTGTCTGTCTTCACTGGCCATCAGGCAGCTCCCGGCTGGCACCAAACGGCACAAAAATGGAATTTTTGAGGATTGAGTTTTTGGATGGAGAACCGATTTTAGGCTTGATAGTTCCATTAAGAGATGTATTTCATGTAAACTGGATGGAATGACGGACAGATAGATGAAAAAGACAGCGAAAAAGCGGAATCAGAATCAGCTGGTTGGGGAAAAATGTCCAAAAACGGCACAAAATACCATTTTCGAGGATTGAGTTTTTCCGGTCTCACATCGATTTTTAGGCTTCATAGTACCTTTACAAGGTGGTTTGTACGTCAGATAGGAAGAATGACCGTCAGATTGTTCGAAAAGATAGGGAAAGAGCCGAATCAGCGCCTGGTTCGGCAAAAAACGCGCAAATATGGCATTTTCGAGGATTTGGTTTTTGGCAATTTTCGGGATTTCGGGTGGATTTCTTGGCTTCATAGTGCCTTTAAACGGTGGTTTGATCCCACACATTGGAACGACGGTCAGACAGATAAAAAAAATGGGAAAGATCTGAAAAAGTGGCGGACAGGCACCTGATCTCAGAAAAATGGGGTTCAGGAGGATTGAGTTTTGACAAGTTTCTAGGTTTTGCGTAGATTTTTGACTTGATAGCGCCTCCAATAGGCTAATTGTATGACAGATAGATAGAATGACTGTCGGTTAGCCTGAAAAACTCAAAACAACTCACGTTTTAGCGAATTCACCGGCTTAATGCACATATCTCCCTCCTCGTATCCGCCACACGACAGCATTTCCGGCCACGGGAACCCATAGGCCGCCATCCGGGGCTCGCAACCCTAAATTTTTCGTTTAGTGGGACAGCGACAGCTGGAAAACGGGCCAAAAATAATACCCACATTTTTAACGGCCTGGCAAAGTGATTTGCAGGGTAAAATTTCCTTGTCCAGGCAAATCGGGGCGTAGAGGGAGCACAGGAAAAGCTGAAAAACCGAGAATTAGCATTAAAAATCAGATTTTTCTACGAAACCTGTGCATCTGGATGGCAGTTTAGCTGGAGAAGCCGTTCCCAATCACGAGAAGCATCGATTACCTAAAAATTTCCATTTTTAGCATTATTTGGTGATTTTTGGGTGAAGATCGAATTTGAAGTCTGTAGTTTAACATTTTTTCCTACCTCTCTCAACGTATCGTGATCCAACAAATTCGGCAGTCGCATTTGCGTGTACTAAAATACAAAAAATCCAAATGAGTACGGTAGGAAATTCTTCAAACCTGCATATTTTGGCATAACGTCAAATTTGCCGGGATGTCGACACATTTTGGGACGTTTGGACGGTCACTAAATTTTTCGGGGTTGATTCTGTGGTTTATAATTTAAACTGGCTAACAAGGAGTGTGGCAAGCTAGCAGGGATCTTTTGGGAAAATGTCTCTAGCTGTCACCATCCCTTTAGCTTTCGAAAAATTACCTGGACATGAGGGACCATGATTCCGAGAGATACGCGTTGACGGGCAGCCAGCTGGTCGTTAGGAGGGATAATAGAAAATACATGCGCTAAATGGGTGTACTGTAGGGCAGATTGAAGGGCTACAAAATACAAAAAATATCTGACTACTAAAACTGAAAATATAAGAACAAGCTTGGATACTGTATTCCAGACGTAAATTACAGACTACAAAATGCGTAGTGTTTGTCAGTTTGCCAAACCAAAAAGTTTAAGCTGTAGTTTGTATGCCAGATTACAAACTGCAAACTCCAAAAAACTATCTGGAGCCCAAACGTGAGAAATATAGACGAAAATCGCGAAATTGTACTCCAGGCCTGAGAATTGAGACTACAAAATGCGTACTGTATGCCAGATCGCCAAACTACAAACTTGAAATTGCAATTTTGCAGCCAGAATAAAAATCAAGACTATAATTTGACGATAGGATTTTGTAAATCGGAACCAATCGATAATCGGGAGGGTGGGAAATCTGAGGGGTGTCGGGGAGTACGAGGTGGAGGATGATGGGAGGAGGATCTGCTACTGCTGCCCTCAAGGGAGATCAACTTTCAGCTCCTCAAAAGAAGAGAGACAGAGAGAGAGAGAGAGAGAGAGAGAGAGAGAGAGAGAGAGAGAGAAGAGAGTGAGAGAGAGAGAGAGAGAGAGAGAGAGAGAGAGAGAGGAGAGAGACAGAGGGCCCACTAGAGACACCTCTCGTGTCAGTAGGAATACAATATCGACAAATAGTACGGTACACACCCCTGAACGCACCATTCCACACATTACTCGGAGTAATTTGACACCCCCGTGTTGGCTAATGAAGGTCTTTCTAGGAGTTCTGACAAATTACGCCATGAAATTCGTGTGATTTTGGATTTTCTGGCAGCCAATATTACTTGAGCTAAAAATATGGAGTCAGTAAGCGAAAATCGGAGAATAGAGGCGAAAAGATTACCAACGAAAATGGTTCAAAATGCTGATTTCTCAATTTTACGGCTAGTGGCTGGCAGTCTATCCCAGAAACAAGAAATAATTAAATAATTAAAAATAGTTAAAAGTCGAGGATGGAATTTAATCGATTATGCCATGAAATTGGTCAAAAATCATTTTTCGGAAAAATCGGAATGATGGGCCGTTGTTGTTTTTATTTTGCCTGATTATTGAAAATAAAACACAGATAAAAAATCCACTTTCAAAAGTGAAATTTGTAAAATTCCAAAAATGCAAAAAATAAAAATCGATAAATCCGTTAAACTCAAGCCACCTCAATCGAACCGATCGATAATCTTTACAAATTGAGGTGTGAAAATGTGGACTGGCAGTCAGATTGTAGGTTCAAAGGGTCCGATCAGGCATGTTGAGACCCAGAAAGGAGATAGAGGGGAGGACATGGCCAAGGTGTGAAAAACCCGGGTCAACATCTCGGGGGGACCCCTCTTCTTTCGATTGCATTTTGGATCAACGGAGGGTGATGGGTTGGGTTAGGAGACAGTCATCACCTTTTCTATACTCAAATACTCGTCTCTCGCTATCTGAGAAGTTGTCTGACACACCCGGATAATCCTCTATGAAGCGTCCCGATTTTCATATATGGAGTTTTGAAGGCTTGGAAAGGTTTTAGGAACTTTATTTTGTAGCCAGAAGGGCAAACTGGCAAGAAAACTTGAGGAAAATGAGATTTATGAGGCTATTAGGGGTCAGGGCAAGCTAGCAGAGGTCATTGGATCCCAAATAGCATAAATTCCCATCTGCCAATGTAAAGCGAGCAAATATCCTTTAGCAAACGTCTGACTGGCCGTAGTCAAAAGCCAGGCAAGCTAGCAGAGATTATTTAGGAGCCAGAAAGAATTAATATAGCGAAAATAGCGAAAAATAATGCTAGTGGTTGTATATTTCGGGGTAATCAAGCGAGCATTCTCGTTCGAGGGTCCTTCACTAGGGTCCTTTCTATACTAGGGCCACAATGGGACCTCGTTTCTCTCTCTCTCTCTCTCTCTCTCTCCTCAAGAGTTCAAATGTGCATAAAGAATTGAGGAACATCTCCAATTTCCCGTAGTGCGTTTTCAGACATTCACCCTTTTTTGACACATTTTCAAAACAAACACCTCTATCTTGCCGCGTAATTTGCTTATCTGTCACGCAATTTAACGATTTTGGCCGGTCAAAATTTTATTATATTATGTTCAAAAAAATGGCGTATGTTGAAATTCCAAAAGCGGAAATTGCTTGAAACTAGGGAACTGAACGCCGTATTCAACGGTTTATCGAAAAAATGCCGAAACAACTAGGTCATAATGAGATTCGTGTATTATTTGCAGGGATAAAAAAAAGACGTATCACAGCTAGCCCTGCATTAAAAATCAGGGGGAGACACGAGCATTTCAAGCAAAAACGTTTTTAGGCTTTTAAATGAAAATTTCGGGCACTAAAACTGGCAGCAATTTTTTGTAGATTTATTTGAAAGGTTGTTTTTACTATAATTCTTAATACCATGGTGACCCTAGGCCAATTTCAGGATTTTCCAAAAATCAATAGGGTGAAGAGGGTCGATAAAAAGAGCGGAGAAATGAAGACGTGTCGCGGTAGTTGAATCGCTCGTCCTAAAGTGTTGGTAATTAAACTGAAAATGACAGTTTTCCCTAAAACAATAAAATCAAACTTCGACACACCAATAAATTGCTTACGATTGGCAATGATTGCTGATTTTGCGTCCGCGGGGATAAGTCCATATCCACTTCGTCCAACGATGTGCCTTCAACCGGATCGTATGTATAGCCATTGACTTCACGGATCCGCTACAAAAAAAAAACATTTTTGCTTGTGTCTTCTTGCGATCGACGTAACCAAACAAGAAAGGAAAAATAGGTTTAAATAAAAATCCAGTTATATTAAGCCTTACAGCGCGACGAATGCCGACTAAAAATATACCTCTAAGGCTTCGAGGATAGTAGTAAAATCCGGACGCCTGCGCCATTCGAACTGGAAACACGGCATCGTGACCTGAATTGAATTGAATTGATCTACAGGACAGCATATGATACCTGTTGATAAACAGCATCCGGACACTTTTCCGCTTTCTTCAATCTATTCTCGTCCCGCAACCAATGCAATAATCTGCGCGGCGACTTTTGGACAGCTAGACGCTTGTTTGAATTAAAAATGGCAAAAATTACCTTTGTCCACTTGATCACCATATGGCCGCTGCCCTCGGGTGTAAACCTCGAAAATGACGACGGCGAATGACCACGCATCTGACTTGGCTGTCCATTTCCTATCTTCCAACACCTGAAATTTTCGCGTCCATTTATGCGTAAAATCAGATAAAGCAAAAGAAACGGTCAGAGTGCAGTTTACCCCCCCCCCCCCCAGCCGCAACTTTTTAGCCATACATCCTATTGATGCGCCGAGTATCTCAAAATGTTTGCCGTGGTCGAATTACTATAAAAAAGTTGTTTTCTTGCGGCAAAAATTGCCAAAAATTTTTTTACAAGATTTTGAAAGTTGAAAAGATTAAGCCGCTATGCTTCGATATACTAGGAGTCTAAAACTCAAATATTTTTATTTTCCGGGTTTTTTTGGGCTCAAACGTACTGTAGGCTTATTTTCCAGAGCAAGAGCTACATTTTGGTACTATTGACAGCTCTGTACGTCAAAAGATAGCCGAGATACGAAAACTCACTTTGGAACAGCAAAAATTAACTAAAGAAAACCCAGACTTATAATTGTTATAAAAATTTTTCTAACAATTTTTGATGTAAGGAAACAACTTTTTTCAAGGTTTTTGACCACGCCAAACATTTTGAGATACTCGGTGCATTAATAGGACGTATGGCTGAAAAGTTAGGGCTGGGGGGGGGGGGGTAAACTGCACTTAAGCCAAAGAAAATGCATTAAGAAAAACCTCGGGTGGGCTGTGAAGTATCGGCAAGTCCGAATCTAATTCTTGATAATATTCCCCACCCAGATCTCGGGCCAGGCCAAAGTCGGCTATCTGGAAAAAAATCGAGAATATTTGAGGAGAGGGCAGGTCAAATTCGAAGCAGCAAAGTAAAAACCCAAAATTCGTTCCATCCCAACCTTGACAACAAATCGATCACCATCGATCAAAATATTCCGTGCCGCCAAATCGCGATGAATTTTCCCGCGGCCCTCCAAATATTCCATCCCTCTGGCGATCTAAAGAAGAGTCTCGAGAAAGATGCATTTGGCGAAAAAGTGGGTATCTACTTTGGTACCACCCCTGGGGTGGTACCAAAGTAGATTTAACCACCCTGATTTAACCACCCTGGTTAAAGTTTAACCACCCATGGTTAAATTTTAACCATCCATGGTTAAATTGTAACTACCCATGGTTAAAATTTAACCACCTAACACGAAAAAATTTAACCACCCATCCAAAATCAATTTATCCCATTTATCGGTAGAAATTCTTTGGAAGAAAGCAATGTGAACCCAATTTATCGCTTTCTAAACCATCCGTGAGCCTATGTAGAAAGCGGCTGCTATCCCAGGGCCTTCCGGAATCGAAATCGGACTCCTCAGTGCATTCGGTCTTTTCGGTGCGTTCCGAAAATGTAGACCATTTTTATAATGTTTTTAGTAGTTTTTGGTTGCTAGGAAGTTACAGAAAACAAAAACATTTTAAGGTATTTTGTAAATCTTGAATATTTTGAGCTTTTTTGGCCGCTATTCATACAATTTTGGCCAACAAGTCCAAATTTTCTCGAAAAATGGAATGAGTTTTTCGGATTTTTATATCTAAAAAGAGCATAAAATACTATAAAATGGCCTATATTTCGTTATAGAGCCAACTTATCGCGAACCCTCCGCGAAACGGGGAGGACCAATTTTTCGAAAAAATTATGATTTCCTAATTTCCTACACTATACGAAAGGGCTAGGTAGACGTGGCCAAAAAGCCTGCTGCGGTATGACCGTTAGGAAAACGGCTTCCCAAGTTACTTGTTGTGAGCGATCGGTGTCCAATTAATGCCAATCCTCGAGGTAACAAAGTATCAAAAATATGCGGATTTATCGAAACAATGACTGGGGAGTGATGTCTAAAGAGAGAATATCAAAAAAAGTGCGGAATGGGTGGGCGGAGTGCTTCCGTTTTAATCTTTGATGAAAATTTTTACCGTCCGAAGCCGGAAGGTGGCTAACTTTATCCTAAAAAAATTTAACTAGGGTGGTTATATGTTTCGTGAAAACGTTTTCACGAAATATATAACCATGGGGGGTTAAATTTTTGAGGCGACTTTTTTGCCTATAGGCCACCGCCTACGGCCCTAATATCCTTTCCACTTGCTAGAATATCGTCTAAAGAAACCATATTCACCTTATTGAGGAGTTTGAATTTTCGAGGAATTTTTAACATGGTTTATAAAAAGTATTACTTTTTGGGTGGTTAACTTTTTTGGTTTTGGCCCTCGATGGTTAATGTTTAACCACCTATGGTTAAAATTAAACCATGGGTGGTTAATACTTAACCATGGATGGTTAAAATTTAACTATGGGTGGTTATGGTTTAACCATCGTGGTTAAATTTCCAAGCTCCTTTCTAGCCCCTTTCCAAGTATTGCACCAAGAAAAGGTTAGCGGCATTCGATCAAGCGTTTTAAGAAACCTATCCGTGAATTTTGCGATGTTTCTAGACCTCTTAATTGTCGTAGAAACCTTCCTCCAAAAGTTAGCTTTTTACCATTGGTTTTGGGCGGTTAAAATTTAAACATGGGTGGTAAAATTTTAACTATGGGTGGTTATAATTTAACCATGGTGGTTAAATTTTAACCACGGTGGTTTTGGAGCTTTGGTACCACCCCTGTAATCGTTCACCTAACGGCCCAGCGTGCTAACCAGTACACCATGGCGTCAACCGAACCGGCTCGGCGAAAAGCCATCAAATACCCTAGGGTTCATGCAGCGGCCGTTTCCGGGTTTCTCGCTTTGGCCTGCGCCCAAATTGGACTTTGCATAAAAATTACGAATCCCGAATACGAATTACGTCAATAGTAGCGTCACGTAGGTCCGTCACCCCGACGGACGCCTGGCCATCTTTCTCCAGCCCTTTAAAAACGAGCACCAAACTGCCACACCAGACCCTTTGCCAGCGGCCACTAATCGCTGAGGCCCCTCGCCCTGTCGCTTTGTGCGCGAAACTGTTTTTCTATTATTCTGGTGAAAACGCCAGCATACGCAGATTGGTCATTTCTAAAATCCTTAGCAAATTTTAAATATTTTTGGTGTTTCAATAAACGAATTTGGCCTAGCTACAACCGAGAACGTGATTCTGGAGGCGACGTCGGGAAAATTTCAAATTCATGCGCTTCCCGCGCCCTTCGGCGTGCAAAGGTCTCCGACGTACAGGGCTCCGGTTTTCGGACCATAGCTAAATTTTTGGCACTTCGGAGCCCCGCTAAAATGCCAATAATAATCCTGACCTGTGTAAGGATGAAGAGGGCTTGCTGTTGTAGAATGATAGTCTGACTGGTTCGAAGAAATTTGATCAATGAGCCGCCGGACATGAGTTCAGTGACAATCTTGTTTGGAAACACGGATGTCACTATCTGAATTTTATTACGTAATTGTCAAATCCCGGCAGATACCCCCAACAAACGGATGATATTCGGATGCCTGAGATCCATTAGGTTGCGCGACTCTCTGAGATAGTGGATAAATATCGGGAGGTATGCAGGTTTACCTTTCAAAATCAATCGGGGTGTTTTGTTGTAGGTTATTAGATTCTTTGACAGCCACCATCCGCCCGCGGTATTCCCCTTGGTAGACCTTAGCAATATCAAAAGCATTACAATGCCGTTAATTCGGTACATACTACTCCATAAGCCCCATGGCCGATCTCATCACCAATGTTCAACCGATAAAGGTTGATCTCCCATCGATCCTCGGTGATTCGCTCGTTCATTTGTCTAAATTGAAAAGCGAGCGTGACTAAATGGATTTGTGTTTTGATGAGCAGTTTAGGTAGCTAATACTTGCTACTTACATTTGAGGAGAGGGGCGATCACTTTGTAAGGGTGGCGGGGTCTCAAAGATCACTTTAAAAATTTCGTTATTGTGCGTTACCTTTAGAAGTTCGAGAATTTTGGAGAATGTTGGTCGTTGCCGCCAATCATACGCAAAACACGGATCGACGATCTGCAGCAGACTTTAAAAGTGGCACGTTGACAGCCCTGACTTACCCGTTTATAAAAATAGTCAGGCCCGAGTTGTGGGAGTCGCTTCCCTTGCTTTAGCCAACGCAATAATGCATCGGCTAGAAAGTTGACAGTTAAATGGTTATACCTTCAAATATACTTACCATCGTGAGGACCATTTAGTCCTCTTTTATAGGGATGTTCAGCCTTGGAAAAGACTTCAAAAATGAGTACGGCAAAGGACCATGAGTTGGACAGTCTCGTTAGAACCTGCCCTTCTAATAGCTAAAATGAACGTGGTTGCTAAAATTTTAAAAATACCTCAGGTGGAGCCCACGGAATAGCATATGGATCGAGTAAGTGATAGGGAGAACCATCTTCGGGCAGATCGTAGACCTTTCCAAATCCAGAAACCTGCAAAAAGATAGCAATCTGCGAACATCTTTCCTCTAGCCCACAGCGAATTTGACTAAGAAATTTCACTTGATCGATACCTTGACGATCAGTTGGTCGCCAACATAATCGATCAGGATCTTTCGTGCGGCCAATTCAGCATGCACTTTACCGGCGTTCGATAAATATTCCATGCCAGCGGCCACCTGTAATATCATTTGGGATATCGCCAAAAGTCGCCTCGTGACAACCTGTGTCAGGATGTTAATGTCACCGTTAAAGCCGAGGGGACAAGGGAATCGCAGGATTCGCCGCAAATCTCCATGCGACATCATTTCAAGCACCAAAATGGGTTGTGCCGCCGAGCGACAAACCTAAAAATGCTAGCGGTTATATGGCGAAAAGCACCTTAGCTTACCCCAAGCATTCGGACAATATTTGGATGTTGAAGCGCCTTCAGGTATTTCACTTCTCTAAATGTAGCATACCAGATGGTTCCAGTCGCTTCGCGACTGTAACCATCTGGCCTTCGGGCTACCCTTCATTTCATACACCATCACATCCATCCCTACCTCTCCCAAAATACCCCCGCTAATGGCTACCGATACCTCCCCTAGCCGAAATCCCCTTCAAAAACTACCTAAATACCTTCCTGATGGCTTCAGATACCTCCCCTAGCCGAAAAACCCTTCAAAAACTACCTAAATACCTTCCTGATGGCTTCAGATACCTCCCCTAGCCGAAAAACCCTTCAAAAACTACCTAAATACCTTCCTGATGGCTTCAGATACCTCCCCTAGCCGAAAAACCCTTCAAAAACTACCTAAATACCTTCCTGATGGCTTCAGATACCTCCCCTAGCCGAAAAACCCTTCAAAAACTACCTAAATACCTTCCTGATGGCTACCGATACCTCCCCTAGCCGAAATCCCCTTCAAAAACTACCTAAATACCTTCCTGATGGCTTCAGATACCTCCCCTAGCCGAAAAACCCTTCAAAAACTACCTAAATACCTTCCTGATGGCTTCAGATACCTCCCCTAGCCGAAAAACCCTTCAAAAACTACCTAAATACCTTCCTGATGGCTTCAGATACCTCCCCTAGCCGAAAAACCCTTCAAAAACTACCTAAATACCTTCCTGATGGCTTCAGATACCTCCCCTAGCCGAAAAACCCTTCAAAAACTACCTAAATACCTTCCTGATGGCTTCAGATACCTCCCCTAGCCGAAAAACCCTTCAAAAACTACCTACATACCTTCCTGATGGCTTTAGATACCTCCCCTAGCCGAAATCCCCTTCAAAAACTACCTAAATACCTTCCTGATGGCTTTAGATACCTCCCCTAGCCGAAATCCCCTTCAAAAACTACCTAAATACCTTCCTGATGGCTTTAGATACCTCCCCTAGCCGAAATCCCCTTCAAAAACTACCTAAATACCTTCCTGATGGCTTTAGATACCTCCCTAGCCGAAATCCCTTCAAAAACTACCTACATACCCCCGCTAATTGCTACCGATACCTCCCCTAGCCGAAAAATCCTTCAAAAACTACCTACATACCTTCCTGATGGCTTCAGATACCTCCCCTAGCCGAAAAACCCTTCAAAAACTACCTACATACCTTCCTGATGGCTTCAGATACCTCCCCTAGCCGAAAAACCCTTCAAAAACTACCTAAATACCTTCCTGATGGCTTCAGATACCTCCCCCTAGCCGAAAAACCCTTCAAAAACTACCTAAATACCTTCCTGATGGCTTCAGATACCTCCCCTAGCCGAAAAAACCCTTCAAAAACTACCTAAATACCTTCCTGATGGCTTCAGATACCTCCCCTAGCCGAAAAACCCTTCAAAAACTACCTACATACCTTCCTGATGGCTTTAGATACCTCCCCTAGCCGAAATCCCCTTCAAAAACTACCTAAATACCTTCCTGATGGCTTTAGATACCTCCCCTAGCCGAAATCCCCTTCAAAAACTACCTAAATACCTTCCTGATGGCTTTAGATACCTCCCCTAGCCGAAATCCCCTTCAAAAACTACCTACATACCCCCGCTAATTGCTACCGATACCTCCCCTAGCCGAAAAATCCTTCAAAAACTACCTACATACCTTCCTGATGGCTTTAGATACTTCCCCTAGCCGAAATCCCCTTCAAAAACTACCTACATACCTTCCTGATGGCTTCAGATACCTCCCCTAGCCGAAAAACCCTTCAAAAACTACCTAAATACCTTCCTGATGGCTTCAGATACCTCCCCTAGCCGAAAAACCCTTCAAAAACTACCTACATACCTTCCTGATGGCTTCAGATACCTCCCCTAGCCGAAAAACCCTTCAAAAACTACCTACATACCTTCCTGATGGCTTCAGATACCTCCCTAGCCGAAAAACCCTTCAAAAACTACCTAAATACCTTCCTGATGGCTTCAGATACCTCCCCTAGCCGAAATCCCCTTCAAAAACTACCTAAATACCTTCCTGATGGCTTCAGATACCTCCCTAGCCGAAAAACCCTTCAAAAACTACCTAAATACCTTCCTGATGGCTTCAGATACCTCCCCTAGCCGAAATCCCCTTCAAAAACTACCTAAATACCTTCCTGATGGCTTTAGATACCTCCCCTAGCCGAAATCCCCTTCAAAAACTACCTAAATACCTTCCTGATGGCTTCAGATACCTCCCCTAGCCGAAATCCCCTTCAAAAACTACCTACATACCTTCCTGATGGCTTCAGATACCCCCCATGGCTGAAATCCCCTTCAAAAACTACCTAAATAACTTCCTGATGGCTTCAGATACCTCCCCTAGCCGAAATCCCGTTAAAAAAACGAAAATAACGACCGACCGGATGGAATGAGAGAAAAAAGAAATGAAATTCCCCGTGAAAATTTTCATCCACGAAACGCGCGTGACCTGGCTCACTATGCGAAAATCGGGCAACCTCCGTCCCCCCACCCCTTTTACTAAGGAAAAAACTTTCAAAGTTAATTTTCATAATTTAAATTAAAACTTTTTCATAATTTTTTTATCAGTTTGGGGGTTTCTGAATGCGCTCTATCCGAATCCGAAGAGAGCTAAGCTCTAGCTCCTTTCCCCTTCGAGTTGAATCTGGGACATGACGCACAGACAGACAGACGGACAGACACCACAGCAAAATTATTATAGTTGATTTCACTTTCATCCCACGTTATCAGTTTCGAAAAGGTTCTACTGATCAACCGGTATTCTACTGATCAACCGGGTATCGGACCATCTCGCCGAAAACCATCTCGCCGAAAATCTAATTTGGTATGCAATTACCCTCCAGATGCTCAAATCTAATAAAAGCATTTTTATTGAGCCCTAGCCCTACCAAATAACAAAAATTCTACGACCAATTTCCGCCTGGAGCCGAATCGGCCAGAATGAGACACCTCAAAAATAAAAAGATTTTTCGGGAAAGTGCAATTTCGTGGATGTAGCCCTTTTCTTATTGGTTTGATAAGACGCATTGTTAAATTGAGGCCGGTTCTGAAGAATTTTGGGGAAAGTTCTGGGCCAAAAATGATGCCATCATTTCAGCCCGCGGCGCGCCTCAAAAATCGTCAGCAATTTCTAGCATTTTTGGATTTTAGTTTCCTGATAAAGCCTTATAAACCCAAGAACTTTTGGCATATGGTTGTTGTAAGGATTGTACATATTTTCTCATTTCGTACCAATAGATTCACGCGTAATATCGAAAGGACGCGCGGTTTTTATTTCCATTTGACCGATGTCGTTCTCGATACCGTATCTTTTTTTTATCTTTTGACTTAGGTTGGTTTTCGAACGCTTACTACGTTTGAAAAGAAGCGTGCAACATATCTGAGCCGTTTTAGAGAAGATTAGCTACCGCCCATGGCTACAGTAGGCTTCAAAAGTGTGACCATGCGATCACGATGCGCGTTGTGAAGCCGGAATTTATGTTTCTTAGCTCGTAGTTTTTCGTGATTGTTTAACCCGGCTAAAATTTGGATAGGATGCAACTATACAACCACCGATATAGTAAAACCACTCTATCAAAGAAAATTTAAAGCCTGATTTTTGGGGGAAAAGCGACGCACAGGTAATCGTAATGTAATCACAGGTAATCGCCACCCTGTATACCTAATGTTCGCATAATTTGGTATATTATCGAGTCGAGAGCCCAGGAAACGTGACGTATCTGAAATTATACTAGGCAAAGTTATAGCACTTCTATGTTTAAAACGAAGTTTCTCGAAGAAAACCCTTACACGTTTGATAGAAGGCGATGAGATCTTGGATGGAGGCGTATTTGCGATTTTCTTGGATATAGTATTCCCCTTCTCCATTTTGATGGATCGGATAGGCTTGGATGATGCCGTTTTTGGCTCTAAATGCTTTATTGCAGTGTTTAGATATTAGATGTTCACCACCTCAGTTCCAAGACAAACCCCGTTCCATTCGAACGTACCAGGTAGGCGCCCAATTTTGTCGGATCCTTGTCCTTAAAGGGCTAGTTCAACTTTTAGAGCTTGGGTTGGTACTTTGGGACACGATGGACGCCGGGATAGCGCGCATTGACAGTCCCCCATTACGACAGTTGTTAGATAGCGGGGAAATGAGAGAGGCGCAGACAAAAAAAACGAAGAGTGGGTTCGACTCTTTGTTTTATTGGCTGAGCTAGCCCTTTAAAGAGATAATGTCGGCACAAGCCATCCGATTATGCCGGGAAAAGGGCGTCACTGCGCCTCTACCCTGTGCTCCCTCTCGTCCCGTAGGCTATCTGCCAAAAAGTCAAGTTCCCCTCCCAAAGGGGCAATCAACAGATGCCTTTACCTCATTAGTTTCATACTAGCGGAGACGAAAAAACTTACAAAAGCCTTTTTTGTTAGTGCGGCATCCCAGCCGTAGAAGAACCACCTAAAATCGTTTTATTTTCTACGATTTTCTGTTGCGTATTTTGGTGAAGCAGGTTTTGGGAAGGAATTTGATATAAAATACTCATAGCTAGTTTGAGAACTTACGGTTCGTCGAATATTTCTGGGATCTCGACGGCGTGTACCTTGGCAGCCGCCCCATATTCCCCTGTCGCCAAATGTTCCGCAAACCACCAGTTTTCGTCTCTAACCAAGAAAAATATTGTCGTTTTGAGAGCTAGGGCATTATATAGAATAATCAGGCGCGTAATTGAAAACCTACTTCTCGCTGATGACCCGAAGTAGATCGCCCTTCTTGAACTGTAAATAGCAATTGGTTGGGTGTGGCTTTGGAGAATCGAAGATGGCTTGCAGTTCTGAAATCAGCTAAAAGTAACCGATTTTCTCAGCCCGGGTTTACGCAAAAAAATTCCGACGTTTGTTCATTATGCAAATGGTTAGACATTGGAGAATTTTTACAAAAAGGTTTCGCCAAAAACTCACCAATTCCGATTCTCCCTTCCTCAAGAAAGCTGTCATGGTTGGGTGGCATTTCTGTAAAAATGCTCAAAGAATTGCATCAAGATTCGATAAAAATATTGAGCAAATAAAAATCTTGATTAAATACGAACAAATTAAACAGCGTAAAGATGTCAAAGGAATTTGCGGGAGGTGGCCGCGTTTTTCGAAGCATTGGTCTTAAAATTTCCAATAAAACTTGATTGCAATTCAGCAAAAAAAATAGGCTGTGGTCGCGTCAAAAATTCAGAAAGGAATAGGCGTCAGAGTGTTTTTGATTCAGCAAATTTATCTGCGGTGCTATCGTTTTACGCTAATCGTGACGTAACGGCTTATCGGTGGCTCGGTCACCGCCCGTCAGGCCAAAAGCCAAAACGACAATGATTCATCGGAAAATTAGCTTCTGGATTTCGGAATCTCGACAAAACTTGCATGCAGCTGGCAATGGGAAACGATCACAAAGGGCAGGAAACAGAAATCAGAATTTTTAGGTCTTTGAAAGGGTGGTGTTCGAAAATGCGACTGGTACAAAAATTGTTGCTTCCCGTTTAGCGGGGGCGAAGCTAATTTTTACCTTATGAATGGCTCAGGGAGGAAAGGCTCTTGAAGGAAAGCTTGGTACCTGGAAAATCTCGAAAAAATTGGCTATAGTTGAGGAAAAACAAGTCCTGGTTGAAGCCCAAGTTTTCGCCGCCCCGTTTGTAAAATTGGAACAGAAAAGAAAGTCGTAAACTTCGTTTTCAGTTCGGTGAATTGATGTGCGGCAGCGGTGATCTGCGTGGAGAGAGGCTAGGCCCCCCCGGTTAAGATAATTGTGATGCAATGGGCCTTATCGGTATCTCTCGGTAACCGTCCACCCTGAAATCAAGCTCGAATCCCCGGTTTTTGCATGCAACGAAAGCCACAGTCCAGGCCAAAAAGTGAAAATCTCGAAAAATTTGGGAAATGTCTAAAGAAGTAACAAAATAGCATGGCAAGCTTTCAAATTGTAGATTTTCGGAAATACGATCGATAATCATTTTTTAACAAGGCTCTTTTTGAAAACATGACTTCGCTACCGAATCCCAGAGGGATCTTCGGCATCGAAATAGTTCGTGGTGCCCGGTGAGACTTTTGATGGCCCATATGATTTTCTGACTCGAAATTATTTTTGCCTCGCTGCTTTTAAATGGTTTGTATCAAAAGTTATTGCTTGCGGCGCCGTTAGTTTTCAAAAATCTTGGGGCGCTAATTTGGCCCGCCGGAAAAAAATTGCTTCCGTTCCCCGCCCCCTGAAATCTTCGTTCACTAAATATTGTTATTTTAAATCAAAATGTCGGGTTTATGCATAGAAATCGGGCTGCAAACAAATTCATTTCCCAGCTTATTAAAATGGATTATTGACTAGAAGATGTGTTGCAAGAAAAACAAGAAAAAACCATTCCTGGGATCGATGGCCCGGTGGGAAGGCAAAGGATTCGCTGAATTAGGAGAGCAAAGCCTTGTACAAGAATGATGAGATTGGTATATCCATTCTCATAACTGGAGTAGTATGGCAACATTTAAGTCAAATTCCCCTACAGCCGAAGCCAGGCAGCCGTTGGGTGGACGGGTGCTACCGATAACGAGTCCACGCCCCTGCCGCAAACTGCCTAGAAAACGAGGGGCCGTTGCGACTGATTCACTACGGTAGCTGTAAGCAGTCTCATAAAAATCCCATCGAAGCTATATCAGATCTTCTCAATTTAAAATAAGAATTTTCCTCTGCTCTGAATTCTGCTTTTACAAATTGTTTCCAGAAATGCTATCCTTTCTCAAATCGTCAAGCCGAGTCGAGAAAGGGCGGAAATCGTCGTCCGACTCGAAACTCGGCGATTCCAACCGTTCCCGTTCTTCCGACGGACAAGAAGACAAATACATTGGTTCGTATTTGCAACGCATACGCTTGCTCGCAGGCTTGACATTCCGTGTTGTCACCACAAGTTACGTTCTCGGCTGTTTCTAGGCCAAATTCGATGATTAAAACAACAAATAATATTAGTAATTGAGTGCGAATTTCAGAAATGAGCTCAGGATCCGCAAATTATAGTGTTTTCACAAAGTGATCGGGCAAAAACAATTTCGCGCAAAAATCGAAGGAGAACTCTCGTGCCGCATCGGCGGCCGGCAATTTTCCAGAAATCAAAGGGCCATCTCAAAAAGGCTTTGATTTAGGAGTTTCGTGCGCCTTTAACGTATTTTCCAGACCTCTATTGCGAAAATAAAAATGCCAGAAAATTGCGTTGCTATTTGGACCCTAATGGCCTTTTCCCGATTGGTAGCTGCAGGCAAATCAGGCGTCTTGCGATTTTCGAGCAGGTGCATATCATTCCTTTTCAGAACTGCAAGCCGTTCATGATGCTCCAGAACCAGACCCCAAGTACTGTTATTTGCAATTCAAGAAGGGCGATCGATTGAAGGTCATTGATTCTCTGTCGGTTACGCTCGTTGCTGCGCGCTACAGTATTCTCTCAGCGCTGATTCACCACATTTCGTTGGGTCAGATATGGTACCCTTGCAATTTTCTATACACTCTAGCTGTCACCAAGTGGCACTTATCGAATACCAGTGGAAAAAGCCCGCTTCGCGGCCCTTTTCCACTGGACCCCGTCCAGGAACGATGAATTCCAACACCTTCTTTTTTGCCTGAGGCGCAAGAACTTGAGTCAAGGAGCCATTCTCTGGCCTGCGGCGCCAGAGCCTTGGCCAAAGATCTTTTCTTTGGCCTGCGGCGCTAGAGCGAGAGCCAGGCCTAAACCTCGCGCTAGAACCTTTTTGCCTGCGGCGCTAGTTACGGGTTTTTCTCCAAGATTTGGCCTGCGGCGCAAGAGCCTAGATCAAGGAACCATCATTGGCCTGCGGCGCGAGAGCCTGGACCAAGGACCTGTTCTTTGGCCTGCGGCGCTAGAGCGAGGGTCAGGCCTAAACCTCGTATACCGAGAGCCTAGAAATGTCAAGTTGCTGAACTACCAAAAAGCAAAAAATTCAATTGACCCAGGAACCGAACTCACGACCATGCGCGTGGTAGACCGGGCGCAAATCCACTACACCATGGGTCAGAGGGGAAGAGGCGGCGTGAAAGCCCTCTTTTGTTCCGGGGAATGCGGGGAGGGGAAGGCAAAGAAAGGGCGACCCAATGATCCCGGAGTGAGGCCTACTCGTCCCATTACAAAATTCGATTTTTGAGTTTGAATATGCGGGAAATTTGTAAAGATAATAAGATGCGCGTGATGCCCAATATCGAATACATAAGTTGTCCAAATTTCAGCCTGAAATTCCATCTGGGTCTCGAGTTATGGCCCGGACACCACCGCACTTCGGCCATTTTGTTAAGGAATTTTTAGAAAAATGCTCATAAAAACTTTATTTTACAAAATCTGGCAAAATGCAAAATTATATATCGGGAGAATTCTATTTCCAATCCGCCCTCCAAAAATTAAAGCTGAATTCCATTTGGATCGCGAGATATCCTCTGTACAAACCTTTTTTCGACCAAAATGTTAAGGGTTTTTCACTATTTTGCTTGTAAGATCGTTAAATGAAGGAATTTCGAAAAACAAAAAAATGCTTATAAAGAAGATGTGCTTCTCCACCACCATGCCAAAAATCAGTCGGGAATTCGGCCTGACGGCCGAGAAATCGTCTGCACAGAAAACACACATACTTTTCTCGCTTATAGGATAGGATAGGATAGGATTGGCTACAAGGTATACGCTGGATGGTCCGGAAACATGCATACCAGCTCCGTTTTTTATGATAAAGGCAGGTGGCGCCGTCGGAGCAGACGCCCGAGTCAAATTTTGTGTCGACCTAAATTGATAATAAAGAGAGAAAAGTAATATATGAGAAGTAAAAAGATGAAAGGAAACTCCACACTGCGAACAGTGGGAGTCTTAACAGGCCGAAGCCTGCGGAACCCCGAAGGGTGTGAACTCGCAAGCGAGCGAACGGCAAAGCCGTGTGAACCAAACCACAAGGGAATGGCGGGTTGCTCTAAGAAGAGCTAAAAGAAGAAAAAATGTAAAGTGGGTGCCTGTTTCGACCCTTATCCAAGACAGGCTAGTTTAACATCAGGGTGGGTCTCCTCAGCTGGATCCCTGATGTTTTCTAGTTCAAAAGGTTAAATTCTTAGTTGTATAGAAAAGTATTTTAATTTTTGTTAGGAATTTGTCTACTTTTGGATGAGTTTTAGTTATATTTGTTTCACTTTCGCTGAAATTCTCTTTGATTTATCAGATGGCTTTATCAGCCCCATCATTCGAGTCAGGCCGTGTCGATAGGGTGGGTGTGTAGGCTAACGTAATCGAATGGATGGGTTGAATTTTGAGACTAACTAAGTGAAAGAGTAAAGAATAGAAGAAAAGGTAGAATAATAGTAAGCTGATACTATTAAAGTATGAGAGGGACAGAAAATATTTATGTAAGTGTTATAGGGGTTAGTTTTAATTTGTGTATCAAGTTTTTACCACTAGTATCGTATCTTAGGCTGAGCCCTGGGTGTTTTTTCATAGCTTTACTGCATAGATTTAGTAAAATTTTACTGGGGTAGCCGTTTTTCTTTAAGTGGGTAATTAGATTTTGTAAATGTTTAATACATGTATCAAGATTGGTACATTTCCTAGCTATTCTGATGATTTCTCCTTCTACGCAGCCATGTTTGATAGCGTATGAGATGTTAGAAGAATAGTTGGGCATGCGTGTAACACTAAATTGATAATCGTCTATTTTATTATATAATTCCGATTGTACTTTATTGTTTTCAATGTAGATTCTGAGGTCTAAGAAATTACCAGATTGAGTTGTTTGATTAGTTTGTTCTAATGTAAGTTCTTTAGGGTATATTTCACTTAGCAAAGTTTGTATATTAATGCCAGTTTTATATAGAACAAAAATATCGTCCATATATCTGTGTCCTACCACTTCTTCTGTATAATTATCTTTAAGAAATAGATATTCATAGTAACTGAGGGTAAGATCAGCTAACATAGGACTACAGTTTTGACCTTGAGGTATACCTAATTTTTGCTGAAATAGTTGTTGTTTATATGATACAAAGCTATTATTTAGAAGGTATTTAACTAAATAAACCAGGGTTGAAAAGCCGCTTCGCGACTTTTCAACCCTGGCCCCGTCTGACCACATTCATTTTCTGCTTCACGTTGCATACTTGTCCATCATTCAGAAGACAAAAAAAATGAAAAACAACCCTTTCTGCCTCTTTATATAGGCGACGGCCCACTTCCGGTCTATGCTAATTATTCCTAACAAAGAAGTTTTCACAAAAACTTAAATTTAATATCGAAAATCTATGCTTTTGAAAATGCGGTTATGTGTGCAGTCATCTCAAAACCATTACGCACCCAATGGCGTATCGGACGTAGCATAAGAGGCTGCCCCTATCGAGATATCCTCCGGACAGACAGACGGAAATGGATGCAAAGTGGCACACACAGACACACACACAAACACACAGACACTATTTTTTTTATATATAGTAGGATAATTTGGTTTTTATTGTAGGTGTTATTTCCTCCGTCATTTGTATAATAGCAATTTTTGTATCCTAGTTTTATATTGGGTTTTTTAGAATTTTGGAAACAGATATCTAGTATACCATTAATAGCTGAGTTAACTATATCGTGGGGTAAATTAGTGAAAAGACTGCTGAAATCAGCTATATAAATGTTATTTTTATTTTTATTTTCCAATAAATTAACTTGATTCGAATTATCAATGGACCAATATACTTTTTTATTAGTGAAGTTAGTAATAGCTAAGCAATACCTCTGGAAATGTTGTCTTATAAATTTTAGTATTTGATGAAGGCATACTGATATTGATTTTATAGAGCTGTTATATGCACCTGTAATGAATCTAAACTTAATTGGGTTCTTATGGAATTTAGGTAGGCCATATATTTTAGGGAGATCTGATGTTTCACCAATTTTAAGTTGATATAATATTTGAGTATTTAGGTGCCGTTTAATAATTTGATCTCTATTTTCACATGTATATGTCTTATAAGTTTCATTTCCGTTAGGCTGCCCATTAACGTATCCCATTTCTTTATCAATAAATAGTTGATATAGTTGTGGGCATATAATTGCAAAATTAGAGGTAGCTTTATCAACACTGGTAATGATAAAAGTTTTACGTAAATCTCTAATTTCTGTCCAATTTAGTTCAGTAGCTTTAGGGGTAAGATAAGATGAAAGAATTATGGTTATTATATCTTCCGAAATAGTTTTATTATCACAATTTTTAGTAATTTTAGCTATTTCTTTTTCTAATTCTTCAATTATTCTTTTTCTATGATTAGCTTCATATGGATTAAGGATTGGTCTATATTTGGTGCCTAGTTTTAGAATTTTAGATGTATCAGGGTAGAATTTTGTAAGGGTTTCACTGTCACCAGTTAGAATATGGGTATGACCGTTATATTTTATTGTATTTAAGCTGTTTTGATAACTATAGCATTGTCTACAAACGTTCCTAGTATCATTTGTGGTATTGTTATCTAATTTATTAAGATATCGGTTATAATTAAAGAATAATTGACCAAGTGTAGGGTTGTATTGATAAGTTATTTGAAAGTCGTTATTAAATAATATTTTATTTTGGCTAAGATAGGTTTTTAAAATCTTTTTAACATTAATATTTTCTATTTTAGGTTCAATGTAAGGTATTTTTAGTCTAATTTTGGGATGTTTTTTAGGTTTAATCTTAGTCTCGTTCTTAGGCTGATCGTATTTATGTATAACGGCTTTAGCTAGAGCTTTTACATTCGGATTATGATGATCTAGATATGGAATGAATTTAGCGTGTAATTTTTTTGGTAAATTATGTGTAAGTGTTCTAATTTCATTGGGCTTCATTTCTGTAATTTGATAATTTTTAAATTGGAAATTATCAATTTTGGCTTTCTTTTTTCTTGTTTTATGACCTCTATCTCGTGGTGGGGGTTGAATTTTTAAACAGAAATAAGGAGCCTGTGTTTTATATTTACCATTAGGATTTGATATAATTCCATACCCCTTAATTTTGTCATTAAGACCAAATGGATACGCAGTATTTAGTAATTTAATCCAATATAATTCTTTATCTGTCCGGATTTGATCATTTTCGTTTTCTAAGTGGTCGTCTAGTATATGGATATAGAACATTCCATTGGGTTGACCATTAGGGAAATGTTTTTTAAAATGTTCATAAATGTAACTAGATTTATGTTTCTTAATGGAGTATTTATGTCCGTACATACGTTGTGTAACCTTGCATGAAGTTTCGCCTACGTATTGGATATTGCATATTTTACACGTAAGACAATATACTATATTTTTAGTTTGACAATTAGCATAATTATGTAGATTAGTCCTAGAGTAATAATTTGTAGAGGTGCTTTGAATTAATGCTTCATATTCTAGATCAATGCAAGTGTTGCAATTTCGTCTACTACATTTACTACCAACTTTATCGTTGAATTCTTTGTTAATAAACCTTAGTTTCCTACCAAGTTGAGTGGAGGAGTGCTCTGATTGCCCGTAATAAGGGGAAAGATATGGATTGAAAGGAAGAGTACGTCTGATATACCAATGGGGTCCGACGTTAGAATGCCCACTGGTTTGACCGTATTTCACGTCTCTCGACGCTAAGCTAGGTAGCGCACGGATACCCAGCGAAGTACTGACCTAGCCTGGCGGCACGACAAACGGTCATAACCGTGCGCTGTCGGCCTTATAACCGGATCACAGGTCAGATTAACTGAAATGTTAATAAAGAAGGAAGGGATCGCTTCTGGCTTAACTGACTTTTGTATGTAATAAGAGGATAAAGGCTAAGAATCATAAGTAGAATTGAGGTAGGATAGAGGCTTAATCATGAAATTATTGGGTGGAATATTATATGAGATTAAATCTGGTTGTGGAGCTAGATGTTTCGGGCTGTAGTAGGTAGGTAGGGATCGAATGATAGGAAGGTAGAAGAATTTAATGGTGAGTAAACGGAGTAAAAGTAGTTAATTAAATAGGAATTATGAAGGTAAATATGTGAAAGATGGTGAAAAATATGTAGTGAAACTAATTATAAGTAATTATTTAAGGTAAAAGGATGGAAACTTAGTATAAGAGCAGAAAATTTGAAAATTAATATCGCTTGAAAAGTAAATAGTTAATAAATAGTTGAAATTGAGTTTACACTATGTATTCGTTAAGCCTGGGCATAGCCCTACGCGTCAACGAAACATAGGTAAATATAATAAAGAGAGAAAAGTAATATATGAGAAGTAAAAAGATGAAAGGAAACTCCACACTGCGAACAGTGGGAGTCTTAACAGGCCGAAGCCTGCGGAACCCCGAAGGGTGTGAACTCGCAAGCGAGCGAACGGCAAAGCCGTGTGAACCAAACCACAAGGGAATGGCGGGTTGCTCTAAGAAGAGCTAAAAGAAGAAAAAATGTAAAGTGGGTGCCTGTTTCGACCCTTATCCAAGACAGGCTAGTTTAACATCAGGGTGGGTCTCCTCAGCTGGATCCCTGATGTTTTCTAGTTCAAAAGGTTAAATTCTTAGTTGTATAGAAAAGTATTTTAATTTTTGTTAGGAATTTGTCTACTTTTGGATGAGTTTTAGTTATATTTGTTTCACTTTCGCTGAAATTCTCTTTGATTTATCAGATGGCTTTATCAGCCCCATCATTCGAGTCAGGCCGTGTCGATAGGGTGGGTGTGTAGGCTAACGTAATCGAATGGATGGGTTGAATTTTGAGACTAACTAAGTGAAAGAGTAAAGAATAGAAGAAAAGGTAGAATAATAGTAAGCTGATACTATTAAAGTATGAGAGGGACAGAAAATATTTATGTAAGTGTTATAGGGGTTAGTTTTAATTTGTGTATCAAGTTTTTACCACTAGTATCGTATCTTAGGCTGAGCCCTGGGTGTTTTTTCATAGCTTTACTGCATAGATTTAGTAAAATTTTACTGGGGTAGCCGTTTTTCTTTAAGTGGGTAATTAGATTTTGTAAATGTTTAATACATGTATCAAGATTGGTACATTTCCTAGCTATTCTGATGATTTCTCCTTCTACGCAAGGCTCAGGGATACAGTAGATTTTCTGGAGGAGAAAATGTCAAGGCCTAAACATGTCAAGGCAATCTGGGGGCCGGCACGAAAGGGACCGACAGGAAGGATAAGCCTTGCCAGCGTCTTCCATCATAAATCGTAGAATTAATTATCATACCCTTTGCCAGAAACGTCGATTGGTGGCTCGCCGAGCATTTGGTGACAGGAGAAAGGGGCCATGCCGCCAAGCTTCATGCCGTCGAGATACCAGCACTATATCAACAGCCGTAAGTCTGAATTAGACGCTGTAAATCGACACAATACAAGAGAGGGAGAAAACCATCAAGACCTATTATAAATAAATCCGAATCTTTAGGTGGTTCTTCTTCGGCTGGGACGCCACACTAACGAAAAAGGCTTTTGTAAGTTTTAATTGTCAGCAAGCCATACATTTTTGCCTAAGCGGGCGGAGTGCTTTTTTAACCACTTAAAGCGCACGTTCAGGCCCGTTTTTTTTTTGGAAAAAGCAAAGATTTTTGCCGCGACCGGGGGTCGAACGCGGGCCCCCGCTCGGGAGGCGCGGATGGAGGATACCAGTCAGCCACAGCAACAAACTGGCAACGGGGTGAGGGGCGCCCCACGCCGCAAAGGAGGGAAATGGCCTGTCACAGCGCGGGCAGGCAGTGCGCGCGGTCCCTACGTCCATAGGGTGTACACGTTGGGACGAGTACACGGCCCCTCCCTGAACGCGCGCTTTAAGGACGAAGATCCAAAAAAACATGCCCTCCACCTGGTCCACCCCTACGGCACCGATGGATATGCGGTGGAACTGAGGTATCGAGGTATCGTTACACAGCGACGACGATTTTAGGAGATTCGACGGGAAATCCCCAATTGTCACATATCCGATCTGTCGCAACGAGAGTGGATATTACCTACAGCCAAAACCGAAATGGTACCGGCCGACCGTCATCGAGCTTGTCGAACTGCACCAAAAATGTAATGCTGGCATCATAAAAAAAATTCGAAAATTCTTTAAGACCACATATTGAAGACGCGACTGCGGAATGTGTACAAGGAAAAACCAATTACGTTAGTTTTTTGCGTGCCTTTTTCAAAAATTACCTTTAGTTATGGCCGGTGGGAAATCCCAAGTCGCGAGTTGCTGCTTGGTGACGTCATCAGTAATGGGGCCACATCTATCGTATGTTAACTTTCGGCCGGACTTCTATGGCAAAACCCACATTGAAAAAAATCTTATTTGATCCTAGATGAGAAAAGCAAGCTGGTACATGTTACCGGTGGCTGTCAAAATTGGTAAATTTACAAGGACCGGGCAAAGGAACGACCTTTCAACGTATGAGACTAACAAATTGGCCTTTCACAGTGCTTTCACGTTATAGCGAACTGGCTCGCTTAAAGGAACTGCAACATCCGAATATTATACGATTGCTAGGGGTTAGTGTCCAAAGTTTGTATTCCAAAAAGAAATACTTAGGTTTGCCTCCCCGTCACCCCAGTACTAATGGTGCTTGAATGGATGTCTGGTGGAACACTCGATCAATTTCTGAAGAAGATGGCCACCCCACCGGGAACGGAAAGAGCAATCGATATTCTTATACAGGTTCGCCGAATGTTCATTAAAGGGGTCCGGAACTGCCAAATCAAAGGCCTTTTTTGCTAGGTTTCTTTGTTAAAACACTACGATTCACCCATTCTGAGCTCATTTCTAAAATCCTCCGGTCAATTTTAAATATGTTTGGTGTTTTAATCATCGAATTTGGTCCAGAAACAGCCGAGAACGGGATTTGGGGGTGACGAAAGGAATTTCAAATTCACTCGCTTCCCGTGCCCTCGGGTGTGCAAAGGCCTCTGACGTTCCCCTTTTCGGGCCCTAACTAAATTTTTGGCAGAGCGGAGCCCCTTTAACAAGTCGCGAGTTCAGATCGCTGCTGGTATGGAGTATCTATCAAAGGCCGGAAAGGTCCATGGTGATCTGGCTGCTCGAAATGTTCTCGTTGATTTGAGTGGCGAAGACATGTTTGTAAAGGTAAATGTTGTGTCTTGATAAAGTGGTAAGCGCAGCGGGACGAACAGTTATCGAACAACTGTTTATTCGGTGAGCAACATGGCGGCAAGAAGGAATTAGGAGTAGAATTGAAACTGGATTTGGAACTGGGGAAATAATGCCATCGCTGGCTCGAGGGGGAGAGAGACCCCGCTAAGGTGGAAAGGGCACTGGATAGGCGAGGGACCGGGGAGCGAAGGGGAAAGGCGGGGGCGCTCGAAGGCGCTCCGCAACAGTAAACATTGTTTTCGCAACCACTTCTGTCTGCGCTGGAATTTGAACGTTGTATTCGACTATACGTTTGCATTCCGATCTGTCACAATTTCGGTGCGTACGTTTTCAGATCACCGGAATGGATCGTGTGCGGGATATTCCAAAAGATAGCTACTGTCCAGCATCTGGCCGTATCGCGTTTGCTTGGAGTGCCCCAGAGGTACCTTTGAGTCGAGGTATCATTTGAGTTTCAGGTGTTGAACAGCATGCAGTTCACCAGCCGCTCCGATTCGTGGTCATTTGCCGTGTTGATCTTTGAGCTGTTCTCGATGGCAGAGGCGCCATACGAAAAAGAGCTTGGAAAGGGTATTTTCGGGGTTGAGAATCAGCTTGTAGCGATCGATTTTTAGACAAAAGCCAGGCGCCTGCCCTGTTGTTGTGGATCTATCGGGGGAATCGTCTCCGGCGACTCGAACAATACACCGATTTTTTGTATCAGGAGGTCAGTTTGGTGCTGTAGAATCGTCTGATCATCACCATTACAGATCGTCGAACCGTGTTTTGAGTATAACTGGCGCAAGCGGCCGACATTCAAAAAGATTCTCGAACTACTCAGGGTATGGCATTTCATTCATTTTTCGACCCGTTGTCACCGATTCATTGTCAACACTGTAATTTGCAAAGTCAGAGATCGTTTGCGGAATCTTTGTTTAATCCTACCGGGTTTCGGAAACCACTGAGAACGTACCTTTCAGGATCCGCCACCCACCCCGCCGCAGAGATTGTCGCCCGGCACGTGCGTACCGCTAAAACACACTAATTATGCTTTTGGCAAATTTCATATTTTTTTTGTTCAGACCGCTGATCAGACCGAGGTCCTTATTTGGAGAGGATCGATGGGAGATCAAGAATGATGAGCTGGCCATTGGAGACTTGATCGGAAGCGGGAACTACGGGGATGTACGTATCGATCGGTGTTTTCAATAATTTCCGCCCTCTAGGTGCTTATGGGTGAATGGCGTGGGATAATAGTGGCTGTCAAAATAGTGCGACCTGATGCCACACGCAAAGTCAACGACGAATTCAAAAAGTGCTTTTCTTTGTTTGCGACATCTTCTGTTGACGAAAAAAATAGTCATTTCTGTTTTACCAGGTCTTTTTAAGGGAAGTGCAGCAGCTGAAAGATGTGACCCATCCGAACATCGTTCGTCTTTACGGGGTAATCGTTTTTCATACAGGGTCGGCCAAACAACAACGTTTGCTCGCTTTTTTCCAGAAAACACGATAATTCGCAAATTCTGAGCTCAATTCTGAGATCCGCACTCAATTTAAAGTGTCTTAATTTGCGCAGTTGGCCCAAGAAAGAGCCACCATCGTGTTTCTGGAGCTGACCACGGAAATTTCAAATTCACGCCCTTCCCGCGTTCTTAGCGTACAGAAGCCTTCAACGTACGAGGCCCCCGTTTTCTGACCGTAATCCACCATTTTTGCTGTATTTTTGCCCCTTTAACGATTTTTTCCCGTACTTGTTCGTAACTTTTGAGGTGGTGACTACGGAGATTCCTAACAAGATCGTCACCGAATTCATGTCGGGCGGCTCGTTGCTTCATTATCTTCAAAAGACTGAGGCTAATATCTTGCAATCACAAGCTCTCCACATTCTTACCCAGGTAATCTTTAGTTTACCTTACAATGCAAAGGGGTTGGGTTTTGGAGGAGTCTAAAAAACGATCCGTTCTATTTCTAGGTGGCCACCGGGATGGAATACCTGACGGACCGAGGGAAAATCCATCGAGATTTGGCGGCCCGGAACGTTTTGATTGATAGTGATCGCCTGGTGGTTAAGGTTGGCTTTTATACATTTTTATTGTTTACGGATTTCTTATAGGTGGCCGACGCGTGATATGCCGATCGGGGATTATTATCAGCTGGTGGCTGGAGGAGTATTTCCCATTGCATGGAGTGCCCCCGAGGTAAACTTTTTTAATTAACAAGTATTTTTGAGTGCGTCTCCCTCCGCTGCCGCAAGGTTTTGATGCCGTCCAGTCATTTAAAACAAAATAAACTGTTCCATTTTCTCAACTGCGCCGTGATTCTTATTCATTTCTTAACCATTTATGTAGATGAATCTAAAATAAAAAAACAGATCGTCACTAGCCTGTCTGAAGTATAAAAATTCGACGTCTTTTCCGTCTTTGGCCTTTCCAATTATCGGGGGGCGAGCTTTTCCTATCAGCCCAAAAACGCCTAGTAAGAGAATGGTAAGCATTTTTATTTTAATTGTGAAATTGTAAAAATTAGCTTACTGTAAAGTGTTTTCTCTTTCTGTCTTTTGATGAAGAATAAGAAATTAGCAAATTTTAGTTTGATTTTTTGGGTGTCTGCCGTTCAGCTTAATGCGTCAACTGTCAAAAAGTAGCCTTGGCAAATTATTTAGGTGTCTGCCACCATCTTCTCAAGAAAATCGAGATGACGTTCTCGGTGTGTCCTCGTCTGTTTCAACGTCTGAAAAAGACAATGGTGCCAACCGCTGCGCCCTTTTTTCTTTTTTTTTCTTTGCCATTGGCCTAGCTGGGTGCTGCTGGAATAGTTGATGGGCAAACAGACTACCGAAACGACCGATCACACACAGAGAGACGGAGGGGCGAGAGAGGGCCAATACCCACACACACGCAGGAGACCCACACTACGCCCCAATACTCCTGCCACTTTCTAAGTTTCATTTTTTATTGTTTGTCTGTCTTTTTGTCTGTCTCTCTAAATTTCTGTCGTTTTATCTGTCTGTTTCTTCTTCGGAGCTTTTGCATTACCGGGGAGCGGGGGGTAGGGGCAACCGAATTTTCCGAAAAAAAATCCACCAAAAACTCATGGTAAAGTAATAAAAATTATTTTACAGCTATTAACTATATTTAACTATATTTAAAATGGAAAAGCTATCTCAAAAACGTTGGAAAATTTTTCGTCGGAAATTTTAGCCTAAACTCCGATGAAAAATACCTCCACCCCCGATAATGCAAAAGCACCTACATTTCTTATTTTGTCCATTTCTCTGTCTACCTGTCTATCCGTCTGTCTGTTTATCTGTCTTCCAGTCTACTTATCCCTCCTTCAAGTACCCCGCCGGATTCCCGTTTTCCACAGTTTGACCATGAACACTTCAAAAATCGAGAGTATCTTGCAGTTTTCGCTTTTAACTTATAGTTTGGATGCCAGTTAGCATAAAAATCCTTTGAAAACTTCGAAAATCTACCGGATTCGGTTGAATCACACTCTTTTCAGTCCCATTTTCTGTCTATTTATCGTCGTCTCTTCCACCGCTTCAATCAAATCCCATTCTATAATGGCTGTTGTACAAACATATCCCGACCCCGAAAAGCGACTCAGCTGACTCCAAAATTGTCTGGAAACTCGTTGAAATCGCCGGAATATTTTTTAGCCATTTATCTTGTTAAACTGGCTCGTTTTCGATACTAGCTTGTTGGATTTGTGCTTCTATGGTTCTTTAAAAAGTAATATGGTTATTTGGATGCCAGTTTCCAGTAATTTGTGTAGAAAAACCGTCTCACCCCATCGAACGATTTTATAAATCAGTTAGTTTGGTTTTCTGACGAGTATTTCATTTTTTTATGAGTCTTGTCTTCGAGGCGACTTAAAAAAATATTTTAGTCAGTCTCTCGTCTCTTTCTGGCAGCCAGTTCCCCTAGATCCATGCCAAGATTCCGAAAAAAAACACAGCGAAAACCGAACCGCGCCCAGGCTAACACATCTGGTGGCATGCAGTTGGAAGAGGCTTTATGCCCCCAGAGGGAGGGCATGGCTTTTCGAGTATATTGGAGAGAGAGAGAGAGAGAGAGAGAGAGAGAGAGAGATAGCCATGCCCCGAGGCTATTCCCCCATCTTTTCCCGTTTTTTCAGTAGGTCCCGACTTTACTCGTGGCCCTTCTTCCCCTTCTTCTGGGTCCTTTTCGCCCCGACTTTTTTCGGGGCCAGCCTCGAAATGAGCCATGTGCCCGGTGTGGAGAGAGAGAAAGAGAGCGAGAAAGAGTCCCCGATATCCCGTCCTTTTTGCCCGGATTCCTCTATCTGCATGACAACCAGGCTTTATTCGCATAATCTACTTGGTTACCATCGAAATTTTTCATTTTTGTTTGTAAAAATAGTTTTTGTGGAAGGAAAGCGTTCAAATTCTCATCAATATTTCCAATTATTTCTTCCACCTCATTTTGCTGCAAGATAATCCTTGAAATTGTCTTGCAAATATTATTTGGGAATGAGCGAGAAGAAAGAGAGAATGAGAGAGAGAGTGAGAGAGAAAGAGAAATAGAAATAGAGAGCTGGAGTGAGTGAGTTAGTCAGCTGTTGCGTTCCGTCTCATTACTCTGAACAGTGGAGTGTGTAAAATGGTGCGTGCTCTTGGCCGTGATTCCCCAATTTCACCGAGTTGAAAAGTTGGACACCGAGGTGCCAAACAAAAAGGCGAAATCCACAGAACACAAGCTGCGTCCTTTCAGCAGCAGTTTCCAATCCAAACAAATACGACGCCAAGAAGTGGGGTCTTCCTGTAGACCTACAAATCAGCTCACTACGCCAGAAATGACGTCAGGAAGTGGAAAACACAAGAAGAATACCCAATTAATGTGTTAGAATGTATTTAAAGATAATGAGAATAGTAATTGAGTTTATTTTTACATAAATCAGGATAAAATGATAAAGCGTTAGTAAGTATGGAACGGGTAGAGATCGGGGAAGGGAGAACGGGGGAAAACAATGGGGGAAAACAATGGGGACGAGGGGGGAAATACGGGAAAAAAAGGAAATGTGGGAGACGGGGCCAAATTTAAACGCCTGAAGGCGCGAAAAATAAAAATCAACAACGGGGCAAACGAATTCGGGGTCAGAGGGAGATACCGAGTACGCGAATAAAAATAGTAGGCGAATAAATTTTTGAGAAAGAGAGGAACAGTATTTGGAAAAGTCTGAATGAAAACACAAAAGACGCAGAAATTGATGAAATTTCTAAGCGGGCACGTAGAGTAACATTTTACAGGAAAAAGGGAATCAAACAGGGGATTTTACACACACATATTCCAATCTTGCACAAAAATCTGGGAAAATCCTTTCCTTCTTTTTTTCGCACATTTCTCGGTAACAGTAGTGGACGCTCCTTGAAGGGTCGTCAGTAGTTGCGGCGCGTACCGGATCTCCTCTGGCTCTTCCTAACGATGACTCCCATGGCGCTGGTCGTAGCGCTTCTTTCCATCCTTGTTTGGTGATGAGTAGGGGCGGAAACGGACATCAGCTCCAACTCGGCTCCCCCCGGGGAGAGTCGGTCCCCGACGATAAGAGGGCGCGGTGGTGTTGACTTGCAAGGCGGTCCCTCGGAGCACAAACGCGGCGTAGGTAGAGAGCATGTCGGGCGGCGGTGGGACTTTGGCGTTCGCAGATTTGACATGCGTGACCAACTCCAATGGCATCAATTCGGCGTCGAGCGAATCGAAACGCAAGTTCTTGACGAGGAAGTTTTGCCGGCGCGTCTCGGGGTGAATCCGAAATTTCTCATTGAACCGCACGATACGATCCGAAGTCGTAGTTGATGACATCAGCGCGGGGACAACAACGATCGTCAAGTCGGGAAGACGCTCCACAACAGATTGCAGTATTCCTTGTATCGTTTCCAATGGGTCCCGCAGATCCTTCAGTGTCGGGTCATCCGGGGAGATTTGAATGAAGAGATATTGTAGGGATTCATTGCGCATCAGCCAATCCGGGAGGCGGCCAAGTAGAGACCATGGTTCGCGGGCGGCAGCAATATATCGTCCAGGCGTTTGAGCAGAATTTAGTTGAGCAGCGACAGCGGCGGCCCACGAGTCACCGATGAAGAGCCATTGATAGAGACGGTATCGTTCCTGGTCGGCGGCAAGCTTCGATAGTTGAATTCGATCGAGATCCGAAACGGGCGTAGGCTTGACATCCAAAGGTGGGTCAGGGGCAACACGAGACAGCGATAAATCGGTGGTGACAATGGGGACACGGGAAGAGGCAACGGCAGGCACGGCTGTAGGTCGGGTGAAACCCAACGCTTGGGCTATGGCTTCGCCCCAGACAGGGTATCCTTCGACGGATATTTCCTTGGCACAGGTCCGGATGTAGACGAGCTCCTCACGGGCACGCGGGCAAGTTCCGCTGAGTATGTGCAGCAGTTTCACGATATCGTCGATTGAGATGGCATCGTCCGAGTGCATGGCGCTGACCAACTCCAGGAAGCTGCCGTTTTGTTGGGCCGGGCTTATGAGACGAGCCGTTGACGAATTCGTGTGCAGAGTGATCTCACTCAAGTTGGCGACGGTATCGGGGTTCAGGCCCATCCGAGTTGCTTGTTTCGTCCAATCGAGAATTGGCGTAATGGATGAGGGATGCAGGGCTGATTCTGCGGTCACCAGCGCCATGGTGCTGCCGTCCTGGTCGAGAAGTCGGATGCGCTCGTCGAGGGCGGCGACGCTGAAAAAGAGTAAATTAACCAATTTACTTTGATACCGAGTCGAATAATTATGAACGCGCGGTGGGACAGGCTCGATTCGGGGCTTTTTGGGAATCAATAATTTACCCCTACCACTATGCTTTGGCAAGTCAAAATCAGGAAACTCGTCTGGAACGACGCGAATCATCTCCATTTGCACGGAAAATTCCGCCCGATCAGGTCTAGAGATGTCTTGGAGGAGAACAGAAGTGTTTCCGACACTGATAATTCGGTAAGGACCACTGAATTCAACGGCAAGTTTGTGGGATGCATTCGGTTCGAGCAAGAGAGCACGACGACCAACTTTTGGGGGAATAGCAGCATCCTGCACTTTCTTGCGATCGAACCAATCCTTCATAACTGCGGCATTATGTGCCAATTTT